TAACGCTATTTTTCAGGGCATTATCATTTGCAGAATCCCGAGGTCATTAACTGCCTGACGAAGGAGGCCAGTTGAAAAAAACGAGGGCTTCTGCAAATGATAATGCCCTGTAAACTAGCGTAACCTTTATTATAGCTAAAATGGATGGAATTTGTTATCAAATGAAATAGAAACAACAATTTACTGCAATCGACACCAATGTCACTGACCAACTTTTACAAATATGGAAAAGTCATAGAACAAACCAGATGAGGTCACTATTGAACGTGACGTCACCTATCCCTATCTATGACGTCACCTAACAACGGGCGTGATAATGGCCCGTCGTCAAGCAATATGAGGGCATTATCAAGTTACAGTGGCATGCGGGCGGTTTAATGATAAATCTATCCATTTTAGCTATAAATATTATTAACATATCGATAACAGAATAAAACATTATCCAGAACCCATTATCCGCTGAAACAGATTCCATTGGCCACAAAAGGCACTATAGTGGTTCAAACTATATGTATAAGCCATACAAAAATCGGATTTTAGGACGAAAGTGTGTACGAGAGGTGGGTACAAACACTTTAAAAGAAAGCTGAGATAGCAGGACGATGCATGCTGCCTGCTGGAATGATATATGATTCCCAACTGAGCAAATTACATTCTGTCTTCAAAGTAGATTTATCAATCATGTAATCCAAGCCCACCTCCACCCCTTCCCGATTATCAAAGGTTGCGTCCCTGAGTATCAGAAAGTAAACTGTACATGACTCTCAATTGCAACGTCAATGGGAGACGGCGAATGCCAGCTCCCCAACTCATGCCGATGGAGAACTGGTACCCATACAGATACAAGTATATATTAGTTCCCTTGTGAAAATAAAATAAATGTCCAGATATAGTCAGACATACTTGTAGTTTGATATACTAATAGCCTACACTAAAGAAAACCATATCGTTTCCCAGTTTTGTGATGGGCATAAGATAACGTGCTAACGTTGTCACACAGGCATGCTTGAATTACTTGAGATTCCTTATCATTATGGGAATGGTTTCATTGTATTCCCCGCCAGTGGGCTGTATTAAATATATACGATTCTATAATCCTTTAATATATCTAAAAGACTAAACCTTTCGAGAATCAAATGTAGTATGTTGTAGACATTCCAACACCCCGACCCCTCCACTGAGAGAGGATTTTGATATTTTGGACCCTTCTCTTTTATAAATGCGAGATCCCCCGTTGAAATTTGGTAATCTTCGAGTGTGATAGAGAAATATGAACGGCCCTAACATCACATCATCTACATGACAATACATATATAAACTATTCACACTGTTAACATTGGGAATATATTTTCTTTCATAAATACCTTATATGTATACAACACATTTCACTCGAACCAGAAGATAAAAACACACTCAATAGTCCCTTCGTCAACACTTGTCATCATTAAAGGATGTGCCAGCTTCAGGTGGCTAGAGAATACAACATTTTAATACATCATGATTAGATGAAATAGAGAATCGCCATTTGAGAATTAATGTTTATAGTTCATTGTGCAAAGTACTCCAAGTGTGGATAATTAATACTTCTACTGAGAGGATGATGGGGATATTGAAAAAATAATGACAAATCAATATATATTGAAAGACACCTGAAACAAGCCATGTCTCATCATTTGTTGAATGTGATATAAACATATTTGTTTCCATAAAGTGGAGGGATTGGCAAACAAGCAAATCTTGCTTATCCGAATGCCTCTCTCAAACATGATACATGTACAAATAGCAATGTATGGACAGTGACATGAGAAATAGCATACATTGTATACTTGGCATTAAAGATAAGTATTGTTCTGTAAATGTGTAATTACTGGATTATCTTCCATAACTACAGTTACATTATTATTTACATTCAGCACAACATCGCAGTATCATATGGCAAAGCCAACATCTCAGACAAAATCTCTAAATCGGCAAGAAGATGGAATAAAACTATGCACCGATTTCAAAATTTCAAGATTTGTTACTGTCGTTAAATTTGAATTACCATTTAGAATTGAATTTAAATCATATCATTTTACGAAATAATACATGTTTTGCCTTACTGTACTGTTTAAGGGACACGTAAGAAAGAATTGAAGTGCATCTTCCGTATGACAGCCACAACAACATCTCGGGCTGTCGGATATAAATCTGGCAAATTTGTCGGCGTTAAGATCACTGCAGCCAAGCCTGGGAGGGGAGTGTATAACCTGACAGAATCTTGATCTATAATTTGTATCAAAGTATATACCATTCCTATCATTGCTTTTTATAAAACTTTTAAAACTTCTTAAGCTGCTGGCACTGGTGTATTCAATAGGTAGTGAGTTCCAAATATTAACTGTATCTGGAATAAATGATTTGGCATAATTCTTTGATTTACACTTTGTGGTTTGCAGCTGTAAGCAGTTTCTCAAATTATAATCACTTGCATCCGACACTCTATTTGGAACTAAGGATGAGAGATAGTCCGGTACCAGATTGTCAACCATTTTATAAAATATATATTTGTTTTTATGTGGTACCGTGGGCGACATGCTTCACAGTTTAGGTACTGGACACACGCACAGAACTGTGTGTTCCTGATGTTGGGTATATTTGTGGGGTCTCTTGCGTCAATTCTTAAGCATTCCTGCATATCTGAAGCTTTTCTTATTGAATGCATGTAATAAACTCGTCCATGCTCTGATCAACACCGTCGGTTTATTGTCAATAAAGATTATGACATTACAGCTTTGTCTTCTTTGATAGGCATTTAGAAGATGGAGTACTAAGTAAGGATAATAATTTATGGATGAACAACTTAACAATTAAGAGCGACGTTTTGGTGTACATTCTAACACCGTTATCAAGCAAGTGAAACAAAGAGTGTGGTTGACATGACTATTTTCAAGTAGGACTTCTTTGTTCGGCGTTTAGAAGTTGGAGTACTAAGTAAGGATGAGAATTTATGGATGAACAGCCGTGCTCGATAACGGTGTTAGAACCTACACCGAAACGTTCCTCTTAATTGTAATAAAGAAGTTGTTCATCCATAAATTCATATCCTTCCTTTCAAGTAGGAGGTAATGTTTATACAGTAATGTAGATATTTTATTCTGGAGTAGAGAAGCCTGTTATGTACACACGAGGGTAGTGATGACAATCATCGGTCTTTCAACCGTGAATCAACCGTGATCAAGGCTATTACATACCCTCGGCGTACCATCAACTCATCAAAGACCCAAATCAGCCATAATCCTGTTGTTTATATTACTGACTTCATCCTTTGTTTATGACACGGGTGTACATTACACTTGATGTTACAGTAATAGTTTGCTACATGTCTTTAGTACTTGACAAAGGAATTCGCTGCAACATCTCATATTATGGATCTTGTTGGTTGACATCAGTCTTACAAAGGATTCAGATGTTGGTGGATTGATTGGATGATTGGAATATTCTCTTTACGGCTGGGGATATTTCCCCCTTATAAATAATACAGGAAGTTTATCTTTCACATAATCAAGGGCGGTCGGGTACCCTCGTGGTTAAAACGTTCACTCGTCACGCCGAACACCCGGGTTCGATTCCCGAAACGGAAACAATGCTTCCCGACACCGGAACAATGTGTGAAGCCCTTGTCTGGTGTTCCCCGTCGTGGTATTGCTGGAACTTGCTAAAAGCGGCGTAAAACCATACTCACAGGCTCCCCATAATCAAGATCACAAACAGGGCAGACTAAACAGCATCTTCCCGAGGCAAGGAAGGAAGTTAACCGACCTTAAATGAATATTGACTTATGAGTACATGAATTAGGTCCCTTCTATGTCCTACCCCCTCTGTTTTCCCTCTTGAAGTGCATCATATCACTTGCGCGTCTGGATTACAAACATGCACAGATTTGGAAATCGCCCAGTTGACGATACACATGTTCTGCAAATCCTGCAATCGAACGAATTCAGACGGCAGTTGCCATGTTATTAATGAACTGGATGCCGAAATCGTTTTGATTGGACTTTGCATTGACTCATGTCAGTCGAGCCAAATGTAACTCCACAATTCTAGCCTAGTTCGGAAAGGGTGAAAACTGAACTTTTAAAGTCAGTTATCTCCCTTGCCCCGGGAAGCTGTTTTAACAGAAGCGTTCTTTATGCGGTGTCTTTGTATACCGGCAACATTCAACTGCAATCTGAAGTTATTACACCAAAAACTGGTACATATTTCCGTTATTTAGGGCGAAGGTCACAGTTTAAATGGGTTTTCACACTCAGTGAAGATTTAAACTGTAAATCATAATTCCGTTAATGAAGCGTGGAGAGAGTGGTACATTATGAAAGAAGCAGTCATAAAATGTCTGTTTGGCGATTATCATATATGTTTTTTGTTTTGTTTTGTTGTTTAACGCCGCGATATTGCAGCTACATGTATATGACGGCGATCTGTAAATAATCGAGTCTAGGCCAGACAATCCAGTGATTCACATCATGAGCATCAATCTACGAATTTGAGATAAGATGACCTGCATCAACCAAGTCAGCGAGCCTGACCACCCGATCCCGTCAGTATCCTTTTACGACAAGCATGGTCGCCTTTTACGACAAGCATGGGTTGCTGAAGACCTATTCTACCCCGGATCTTCACGGGTCTACCATAAATGATGAGATGCAACTCATGTCTTGACGTGGCCATATAAATCTAAAACCATATCAAAAAAAATAATTCTAATATGAGATAGTTAAATATTACCAAATGGGGGCGTCCAGGCAAAATAATCGAAAATAATGTTCTTTATTGTAATACTACTGGTTTTCCTTCTTGAAGTGCATCATATCACTAGAGCACCTTGACTAAAACGATCAGTATAACATAAGTATGTTTACCATTATCACCAAGAGTTTTAATCATGCTGTATGCTTGGTGGGGAAGTATATGCTGTGGTAGCTGATTCAGTCTGAAACATTACTTGACTGCTCTGGATGAATCATGATACTGGAGACTTGCACACTCACAATGATGTTACAATAAGTGGTTGCTGAGACCTTCCACATGTATTCGTCAGTATATGCTTGTGTGAGAACTGATTCCCCACTACTACATTCACTAAACTGTACGTGACATTATTAATGTTCCTGTTTCTGAAAAAGGATGTTCAGTAATATCAGGAAGCGTATCTGTACTATGAACTCATTATAGTACGATGGACAAGGCGGCGTTTGGCTGCATAGTAGCTGTCCTGACCAGGGTTTTCTTGCTGCAAGGTAAGATATGCCTTAAATAATATTTGAACAGGTGTGTTACATTTATTGGCTTTAGTCTTGATTTAAACATATTTTATTCAGATTGAAATGGATTGGGAACAAGTTATCCAACTGGAGACTCCCTCTCCATGGTATTTACAAAGCGTGTACAGTAAATCATATACAAGGAAAACAGAAAAGAAGATGAGTGTAAAGATAACAAGAAATGTACAAAAGAGTATACTAGTATATGTACATTAAAGTGTTACCCAAATCTCTTTGTATGACTTATAAACATTTGCACTGCTTTAAAGATGTGTTGATTTTCGATAATGGACAAACATTCATTTCCGTTTAACATCAAATTTAAATCTAATTTAGCATTTTTGTTCACGGCGTTCTGTAAAATGTCCCGAATTATTATTAACATAGTTTTCTTTGGTGGACGTACAATGGACACTTTAATCAATAATGATATGCGTTTTCACATGGATCACCACATTGACATATTGGATCACATTTTACCTCTATTCTGTATATATCATAATTTAACTGGCTTTTCATGTATCTTAATCGAGTATGATAAATATTCAACTTTCTAACACCATAGGAAAAATATGGAGGTGCAATGACTTGCTCTTTTTGTATGTATGTCTTGAATTGGGATGTAGATGTACAATTTCTACCTGCTGCAGGAATAGTGTTCCATAACCTTACAGTTGATGGAATAAAAGAACACGTTGAGTGTTTTAATCTAGTATATGGAATCTCAATATTGTCTGAATTTCTTAAATTATATGATATATTTGAACCTACAGTGGTTGGTACACTGTCTTTAAGGTAAGTTGGGGCAATATTACTTTGTATTTTGTAGAACAAACATAGCTTGCGTTTCCTTCTTCGTTCTTTTAACGTTTCCCATCCTGTTTCATAATACAGATGTGTGTGCGAAGTATACTTTGGGAGCCCAGTAACTACTCTGGCAGCTTCTAGTTGGAGATTTTCTAACTGAGTTGATTATTCTATATTACACCCATCCCACACTTCACACGCATATTCGAAATGGGGTCTTATGAAGATTGTATATACTTTATTTAGTGTATTTCTGTTCAATATGAATTTTAATTTTCTCATTGAATTTATCATTTTTGATGTTGGCTTTAGTCTTGAGCGCATCATTCTGGTATTGCCGCATATGTTTACTAATGACCCAAGAATTTTCAACCATGTGTGCACTTTAGGCGGACGGATCCCAAGACGGACGCCCCTATCATAACCTTAACACGCAAACAGTCTTCAAACTTCTTTACTTGCTTCGTAAAGTTACCACTGCACACACGTTTCACAAAGTGGCAAAGGGAATCGGGTATCGCTGTAAGGAGCTTCCTTGCAGTATCTGACATACAGAACACGCTTTTTGATTAGCTTATGTCGTATAAACGTTGTTACGATCCATTGGCTTTCGCTGACAAGAGTTACCGTTCTACCCGCTTGTCCGAAAACCACCAATATATCGGTAGTGTCAAATGTTTAAGAGGCTATTGAGTTCTTGACCGAAACAAAGGACGGGGAAACATCTACATCTTCTGGACCGACAGAATATTTTATGATATACTCCAAGTAGCACCCGAAATTTAATTCAACTAGAACGTGTCTGTATACCATGTGAAATCCCCACCTTTTCATGAATGCCCACCAGCTTCCCCACCAGAAACATGTATCATGGCGCATCAGCTCTACCACATCAAGTGACATCCTGCATACTCAGTGCCGTACATCTTTGAAACAAAACGATCCATGCCTCTAGCTACCTTAGTAACAAAGCATTTCCGATTTCATTAGATCACTTCCTGTTTCAGATAACACATGCCCAGTGCAGCACAACTTTGGAAAAGAAAGACCTATACCTGTAGCTTCCTTCATAAAATGAAAAGCATCTTGACCTTCAATGTCGACCATGAACTGCCTTGAGATAATATTTATAAAGTTTGATCAAATTTTAGTTATATACTAGTATATGTGTGTGCGGTAGCTTTATGGGACGTAATCAAAGGGTTGTACGAATAAATATACACAGTAGCATCGACATACAATCACATTTTAGGATCAACTTCTCCATGGACAAGTGTGCCAGCTAAGTGGATGTTCACACACATACCACAACCTCTCCTGAACTGTTCACATATTCACATCCGTTCATTCCATTCCTGTCTTCCTATCAATAAAGGAAATAATCTTCACCCGTGGGATAGAATAGGCAAATTGCTTTATCTTTCGAACAAAGTCATTCCCCAAAGTAGACACCATACGTTACACGTATTTCGTTATGTTTCCTTCAGAAGCTGCCTCGAGCAAGATCAGGATAGAACCCGGTCATGGGACCAACAGGGGGCGTCTTCAGGTGTTTAATGATGGAATTTGGGGAACGGTCTGTAATGACAACTTTGGAAACTTCGATGCTAGGGTCGCCTGCAGGGCTCTAGGAATTGACAGGTGTTTGTACAGTTTGTATATGGTTTGGTTTGGTTTGGTTTGGTTTGTTGTTTAACGCCGCACTCAGCAATATTCCAGCTTTATGACGGCGGTCTGTAAATAATCGAGTCTGGTCCAGACAATCCAGTGATTGACAACATGAGCATCGATCCACGCAATTGGGATCGATGACATGTATCAACCAAGTCAGCGAGCCTGACCACCCGATCCCGTTAGTCGCCTTTGACGACAAGTTTAGTCGCCTGTTACGGCAACCAATCATCTGTCATCCCTTCCCGTCCATATCTCAGATAGTGTGTTGATTGTGGTGGACCTGGCTTACTGGGGGCACGGGTGGCCCAGTCGTCTAAGGCGCCGCAATTCGCTGTGCAGAGTTGCGTCCCTTTGGCACGCCAGAAACCTATGACAGTGGGTTCGAATCCCGGTTCGCCCCGATTATGTTTCTAGGTTTGTCAGCACCATACCCGTGCTCGTTGGTTTCACCGAAGTGGTAAACGTCTGAGACCTGCATCACTTCGGGCTTTCCTCCCACATTAAGCTAACACGCCGTAATATAACTGTAATACTGTTAAAACCGGCGTTAAACCCAACTCACTCACTCACTCCTTGCTTACTGCTGTTTGTATAATTGGCCAAACGATATCATTTTAACTAAAGAAATGGTCATATATCAACGCCCGTTAACACTAACAATGCACTGAAGCTAACCATACATGTTAGCTCATCGTTTCTAGCATGGGTAGGGGGGGATATGTTGTGAACGTTTTGTTTGCCTTTAAACTGGGAAATGTAAGCAAATGATTCTAATTACTATTCAACAGTAAGTATGCTGTCCCTTGGAACTTTGGACCTGGTTCTGGGCCAATACTACTGGATGACCTCAGATGTGATGGCAGCGAGACGAGCTTTGATGACTGCCTTCACAATGGCTGGGGCAACCACGAATGTGAACACATTGAAGATACTGGGGTCGTATGCACAGACGGTGAGGCATTGGAATCCACAATTTTAGATTCTACCATTAACAACTGTAGGATCTTCCTGTTCGATACTGATACACGGTTTTAGTTTTCACTTCGTATGCATACTGTTATTGCGATCCTTATTCTAATACGGAATTCTATCATGTTCCCGGGTAATCATTGTGTTTTCCACTATAGTTCAGTATTATTTATGTGTAATAGTACCACAACCCCATATTCTATAGACACAGTGTAGTCAGTGAATGTCGTGAAACGCGAAAGTCAGCAATATTCCGCCAAAAGACCTGTTCATAATTATGCCTGGATCAGACAAAAAAGCAGTTGGTGCTATTAGCAACATCCCACATCGTGTGGCTACGATGAGCCAAGACCAGATGCAATCCGTGCCAGCTTCATGTGTAGGCAATGAGTGAGTGAGTGAGTGTGGTTTTACGCCGCGTTTAGCAATATTCCAGCAATATCACGGCTGGGGACACCAGAAATGGACTTCACACATTGTACCCATGTCGGGAATCGAACCCGGGTCTTCGGCGTGACGAGCGAACGCTTTAAACACTAGACTACCCGACCGCCCCTGTAGGCAATGAGCTAGATGTAATTTCACATACTGGTATCATCTGGAAGGACCACGCGATATACTGATTTCTATTCGTATGTACATTCCGCAAAAGTATGATGGACTTGTCGGAGTGGTAGCTCAGTCTCACTATGGGGGCGGTCGGGTAGCCTAGTGGTTAAAGCGTTCGCTCGTCACGCCGAAGACCCGGGTTCGATTCCCGACATGGGTACAATGTGTGAAGCCCATTTCTGGTGTCCCCCGCCGTGATATTGCTGGAATATTGCTAAAAGCGGCGTAAAACCATACTCACTCACTCACTCACTCACTATGAGTCTTAATCAGAGATGGGCATTAAAAAAGCAATACATTTCATAACGATAACTAAAATCGAAACTTCATTTTTATATTTTTAGATGAGGTGATCATAACACCAACAAATGTCCCCATCACGGTGCCTGAAGGTGACCAAGTTAATTTCACATGTGTTGAACATGGTAACAGGGGTTTACCATCAGAGTACCTGTGGTCTATCGGGACACGGACTATGTCCAGACAATCCAGCGTTATACTGACTGCGGAGAGACACATGTTCAACAATGGCAACCTGAAGTGTACTGTGACGAGCGTTATTGGGTCCAGGTTTGAGAGTGCAACAGTGAGCATTGATGTACAGTGTAAGTACATCCCAATGTGAGTGAGTGAGTGAGTGAGTTGGGTTTAACGCCGCTCTTAACAGTATTCAAGTTATATCGCGGCGTGTCAGCTTAATGTGGGAGGAAAGCCCGAAGTGATGCAGGTCTCAGACGTTTACCGCTTCGATGAAACCCACGAGCACGGATATGGTGCTGACAAACCTAGAAACATAATCGTGGCGAACCGGGATTCGAACCCACAATCATAGGTTTCTGGCGTACCTAAGGGACGCAACTCTGCACAGCGAATCGCGGCGCCTTAGACGATTGGGCCACCCGTGCCCCCACATCCCAATGTCACAACACTGAAAGGACATCCATGTGTGGAAGAGGTCGCATTTGTCTTTAAGAGATTTTTCTACATCTTATAAACGAAGCAAACTATTAGATAAAGTAGACAGTTGTATCATAATAAACAGAGCGAGTGAGTATGGTTTTACGCCGCTTTTAGCAATATGCCAGCAATATCACGACGGGGGACACCAGAAATGGGCTTCACACATTGTACCCATGTCGGGAATCGAACCCGGGTCTTCGGCGTGACGAGCGAACGCTTTAACCACTAGGCTACCCGACCGCCCCCATAATAAACAGAGGTTGGACGGAATCTTACATTTAGACTTCTGTGTGTGTTTGTGTTTGTGTGCGTGTGCATGCTTGTGTGTTGTGCCCAAGGCAGTCTGATTCAGCAGACCATCGAGATTGATTATTCTTTTGGCGACGACGTGTGAATGTGAATTTCAGTTATACAAAGGTATGCACTGATCATGTCTGTGTGGTACCTGAGACGCCAAATTGCGGGACCCACTCAACTCCAAACCCTATTTTATCACAGATAATTGTGCATTTCAGATCCACCACCAGCTTTCATAGAAACATCTCTTAGTGTCATCGAGGGCAACCACACAAGCATTTGCGTTGATGTTGTGGGTAATCCTTCACCAACTCCTGCCAAGTGGAGGAAGATGGGACTGACCTCACAGTGGCATAATTCTACCTGCAGTATTCATGAAGTGGACGAGTCGGATTCCGGAGATTACCTGGTGGTCATGGAGAACACACTCGTTAACAATGTAATTAACAGCACGAAGACAGGAACTGGTGTTCAGGTGGTGAATCTGATGGTCATGTGTAAGTATGAGTCAGTCAGTCAGTCAGTCTGTCAGTTAGATGCCACTTCAAACAACATTACTGTCATGTCCCTTACTGTGGATGGAAAGCCTCGGGTCTCAGGTCTTGACCATTTGATATTTGGGGTACGGGTGGGTAGCTGTGGGGTTTGGATAGGTGTGCTGGCATTGTATGGATAAATAGATAAAGCTGTAGCTGAACAAAAACATTATGCTCTAAACAAAAGATTTTCTTGCAATTTACTCTTTTCTCGATAAATTTCTACACTGTTGTGTTGGTATTGGAATTGGAAAGAAAATAAGGCATACATGCATTTTTTAATTTTTTTTTATTACAACGTGTTTGTATCGTTTTCTATCATGAAGTTGTCCGATTTTCGATCACGTACGCTGATACAACTGAATTTCGTTTATCCGACATATTCGTTAATCCGACATAATAATGTCCAACCGACCATTACGGATTACCGGGACTTGACTGTATATGACTTTACTGAATCGAGAAGGTGGTATACTGGAATATAAATATATTAGATTTGTATCTTTTTAATGCCAGATTGTCCCAAGAATATCTGTCACAATACTTACACCGTACACTAGAATCTAACTAAATTAGATGTGTATCTTTTCGATGCCAGATGGACCCAAGCTTTCCTGCAAGGAAACTTACACCGTGTTTGAGAATACAACGGCTCTGATGAAATGCCACGTCGAAGCTCACCCTCCTGCCACCATCACCTGGAGCCGAGCAGGAAGCTCTGCTGCCCAACAGCACAGCGGGTGTCAGTACAGGATCCCCACTGTGCAGTTGTCTCACCGTGGTGACTACATCTGTACTGCGTCCAACACCCTGGCAGACTACATGGGCAGAAGCCACATTAAAACAGATTCATGCAGAATACAGCTGATTGTTAGATGTAAGTATGTCTTTTCACAGTTTGCATTGCAGCAACATACAATTTCAATTTTGAAGTATCAGACACAATACTTTCATGGAGGTGTTAATGGTGTTTGTTTTATGCAAATTGTGTGAGTGGCGGGTGCTTCATGTTTGGCAGGACATGCTTACCCTTTTCGGGAACACCTGGACCCACTTGCACAAAGCGATCTTAGCGTTGACTATCGTAAGCCTATGTTAAAGAATGGGAGTTACGATAATCTTAGCACTAAAATCGCTTTGTGCATGTGGGCCCTGGTGTCATCACTGATATATATTGATCCATTCACATCGTTTATTTAATTTTCATGGCTATTTTACCTTTTATGCTCAATCGAATCTGTTTCGCCCGATAATCCAGGTTACTTCCTGGTGCTGACATTTTATATTGTGTGATAACACTGCTATGTCGGTATTAAATAGAAGAATTAATCTGAAAAGGGTATCAAAATATGTGTTCATTTACAATTCACTTCTTGTGATAACTTGTCTACTTAATGGCATCAAATGTTTTAATGAACCATTCAATTTTCATTACACAGCATACGAAGAATTAAAGAACCAAAGTCTGATGATAGACACATCCTCATCCTTATGCTTTCCCATTCACAAAGCCTACATTGTAGGTGGCAGCCTTGGAGCTATCATTCTGGCTTTCATGGTCCTCAGCCTTGTAATGATAATCAGGCTACAGAATCTATCTACAGGTAAGCTACATATACCACGATGTTGATATAGACTTATCATATCTCACATTCTTCAAAACGGGGGTGATAGGGCAGCCTTGTGGTTAAAGCGTTCGCTCGTCGCGCCGAAGGCCCGGGTTCTATCCACCGCATGGTAACATTGAATGAAGTCCATTGCCAAAAGCGGTGTAAAACCCAACTTATTCATCCACTCACTCAACCCGTGAAGATCCGGGGTAGAATAGGTCTTCAGCAAGCAATGCTTGCCGTAAAAAGCGACCATGCTTGTCGTTAGGCGCCTAACGGGATCGGATGGTAAGGCTCGCTGACTTGGTTCATACATGTCATCGTATCCCGATTGCGTGGATCGATTCTCATGATGCCAATCACTGGATTGTCTGGTCCAGACTCGATTATTTACAGACCGCTGTCATATAGCTGTTGTCGTTAAACAACAAACAAACAAAACAGACAAACATTCACTCACTCACGCCCATACGTCTATGGGGCCTCTGAGACTTGGGCAGAATTCTCTCTTAAGTCTTCCATAAAACTATGATCGCGGGTTTGAATCCCATATTCGTTGTCATCAGGATCCTATGCTTGTCATCCCATTTATGTGTGTTTCATAAAAGTACTGAATGTCTCACTTTGACCCTTCCTTCCACATTAAACAAATTACGATGACAGGGAGGGATAAAACAGAAATTCTGTTTAAGGCGGCTTAACCCACTTGCTCACTCAAGACCACATCAGTTTTCACCTGGGTTTTGACTCATGGGTATCGCGGATATCTACATAGTATATTATTATTTTAAAATCGTGCACAGGGGAGATATTTCCACTTGATTATAGGGGTATCATATTTGTCTTCACTAATTTCCCTACAGGTCAAGCAAACATGAATAACCAAGCTTCACTTGGTTCATGAAGATCCAGGGTAGAGTAGCTCTTCAGCAACCCATGCTTGTGGTAAAAGGCGACTGTTGTTTGTTGGTTTGTTGTTTAACGCCGCACTATTCCATCTATATGAGACCCGTGAAGATTCCGGGGTAGAATAGGTCTTCAACAACCCAAGCTTGCGGTAAAAGGTGACTATGTTTGTCGTAAGAGGCGAGTAACGGGATCGGGTGGTCAGGCTCGTTAACTTGGTTGATGCATGTCATCGATCCCAACTGCGTGGATCGATGCTCATGATATCAATCACTGGATTGTCTGGTCCAGACTCGATTATTTACAGACCGCCGTCATATAGCTGGAATATTGCTGAATGCGTCGTTAAACAACAAACCAACCAAACCAATCACTTGGTTCATTTTAGAAAGGATATCCACAAAGGAAGCTGATGGCAAGACCACCCTGTCAGACGGCGCCTACTACCTACACGGCATACACACTGATCAGAACCTACTCTGTCTGTCGACCTACGCCAACCCTCATGGCAACGTTGAATATCCATACATGGATATGAGTGGGAACGACCAAAGGTCTCACCCAAATGAGACTGTAGATGACCACAGGGAGAAGCCACACTACAGTGAAGTAGAAACACCCATGGCAGCGTATGACTATGAAAATGTACAGAACAGGGGTCTATATTGGATTTAGTTGTAGACTTCAGAAGTGATCCGATCACCTCCCTGTTACGTGTAGGTTGCAGGTTCAGTCTGTACTCAGTGCTGATGTGAGGCGTTAGTATGAGATGAGCACTGAACCTCTTGTTTAATATAAATGGAATGTACATGTACATGTAGAGCAGGTATATTTGGATAGACTTAAGTTGTCTGAAGCTGAACATTTGTCCGAAGAGTTTTACTTGCGGTTTATATTGGCGTTAATTCTCAGCTAAGAGTATTTACTTCCTGGATGGGTGGTACATCGAAAAAGCAACCCGTTTGATTTGATCACAAATGTACTGTAAGCAAAATAAATGTACTTTTTTCATTTGGATTTATTTATAGTATATTGTAAATTTCGTTGTGCATCACATAAGTTGAAAGTGCAGTATAAGCAGTTAAAAGCAAATGATGAGCCCCAAAAGTGTTTGTGTACAAACTGTAATACACGTTCTATTGATGAGTAGTTTCATTTTCTCTTGGAATGTCCTTATTTTCAGTCGTGTAGAGAAATGCTTTCGCCGCCCAATTATTATACTAATCCTTCCATTGATAAATTCTCCCAGCTTCTGTCATCGGCGTACCCTGCAGTTATTAAAAGTGTATCTATATTTCTAAAAGGAAACCTATCCAAATAAGCACTTTATTGATATGTATGTTTAGAAAGAACGCACTTTATGCATTTTGTATATGTAGTACTATGTGGCCTAAAATGCAAACAAACTTGTCATTTGTCAGAACAGGAAAGGTGCTGCACTGTGGCACTGCTAAATACATAGACTCTTGCAATCTACCCGCCGTGTATGGTAACAGTTTGAGGTATACTAAGTCTTAATGTTATTTCAGGTAACAGTATCGTACGAACAGGTATAAAGCTAGCATTTATCTTTTTGTATTGGCTAAATTCACGTTACAAGATATAGCCTGATACAGCCACTCAGCTTGCCTAGGATATTTGCTTAGTTGACCCTTGCCTGATCAGTTAATCATACCTCATTAGAAACGTATAATATACAGTCAAACCCCGTTTTCTCGAACCTAGCGAGACCATGATGTAACTTCGAGATATCTGAATATTCGAGATAACAAGGCTTGAACATCTAGACAGATCAAGTAAGTATAGACCCAAGGAAATATGATAGATCCTTCTCAAAACTGTGAATGTGGTAAAGGTAAAAGAATATGGAGTAAAGTCCAGTGTTCGAGACAGCTCCATGTACAGTAAACTACGGTTATAACGAACACGCTTATTGCGAACTAACGGATATAACGAACTAACTTTTTAGTCCCGACTATATGCTGTAGTTATGCTGTATAATACGCTTATAACGAATTACGCTTATAACGAACTAAAATTAGTAGTCCCTTTGAGTTCGTTATAACCGTAGTTTACTGTATTTTAATGTGTTTGTTCATGTTTTTTAATCCGAGATAAGAGGACAAATGTAAATAGCGAGGCTGTGACCCCTTTCAGTTATTACAAACCCACACTTAGAGGCTATATCAGATATCTCAAGCAAATGAAGTGAGACACCAAAGTAACTATTAACAAATTAGATCAAGTTAAGCCAACTATCGGTTAGAAATACTTGTGTTGTCAGTCCAGATTTGAAGAGGTCATTTACGACGACGTCGTGTTGGTGATACTAGGTACACGCGCGAGCATGTTTTGAAAGGTAGCCTAGTGGTTAAAGCGTTCGCTCGTCATGCCGAAAACCCGGGTTCGATTCCCGACATGGGTACAATGTGTGAAGCCCATTTCTGGTGTCCCCCGCCGTGATATTGCTGGAATATTGCTAAAAACGGCGTAAAACCGTACTCACTCACTCACTCTGATATGCATCCCTTGTGATGAGAGAAATAGTCCAGCACATTTTATGGACTTCTCCATCACAAGGGTTTTCGTTTGTTGTTTAACGCCGCACTCAGCAATATTCCAGCTATATGACGGCGGTCTGTAAATACTCAAGTCTGGACCAGACAATCCAGTGATTAATATCATGAGCATCGATCCACGCAATTGGGAACGATGACATGCATCAACCAAGTGATCGATCCTGACCACCCGATCCCGTAAGTCGCCTTTAACGACAAGCATAGTCACCATTTACGGCAACCATGGGTTGCTGAAGACCTATTCTACCCCGGAATCTTCACGGGTCGCTTGTTTGTTGTTTGTTGTTTATTGTTAACGCCGCACTCAGCAATAGTCCAGCTATATGACGGCGGTCTGTAAATAATCGAGTATGGACCAGACAATCCAGTGATTGACATCATGAGCATCGATCCGCGCAATTGGGATCGATAACATGCATCAACTAAGTCAACGAGATCACCCGATCGCGTTAGTAAGAGTCCCGACTAACGGGGTCGGGTGGTCGATGACATGCTTCATCCAAGCTTCCCAATTGCGTGGATCGATTCTCAAGATGGTTGGTTGGTTGGTTGGTCGACTTGTGCAATTGGGATCGATGACATATATCAACCAAGTCAGCGAGCCTGACCACTCGATCCCGTTAGTCGCCTTTTACGACAAGCATAATCGCCTTTTATGGCAAGCATGGGTTGTTGAAGACATAGTGATATCAATCACTGGGTTGTCTGGTCCAGACTCGATTATTTACAGACCGCCGTCATATAGATGGACTATTGCTGAATCGGGGCGAACCGGGATCCTCAAAGGTGATGATTTGAAATATTTATCCCTTGTGATGGCAAAATCAATAAAGTCAGGCAGTAAATGCTTGTTATTAAATCTTCACATACTGTCTCGTGTTATCAAAATATAAGAACACATAAATACTACTAATATTCATTTAGAATATTTATTTTATTGTGTGTTGTATCACCAATATTCAGCAGAAAACTACGTAAGCCATTTTTTGTTGACATTCCCAGATACAACATTTAAATTTCAATAAACATATTAGTCAACATATAAAAGTTGATATTGATGATAATGATCTTGATAACAAGTTGGAATTTTAAAATTTAAACTTAAAATTTCAAAGAATGTATCTTGAATATTTCATCTTAGTATCTTGAAATGTCAACTTAATATTTTGATATATCAATGTATGATGTATTCATATTTAAAATTATTTTGTGACAATAAACACTTAGAACAAAAATTCATCATAAAAAAATATAGTTTATTTTAGTTTGTTGGTTGGTTTGCTGTTTAACGCCGCACTCAGCAATACTCCAGCTATATGACGGCGGTCTGTAAATAATCGAGTCTGGACCAGACAATCCAGTGATTAATATCATGTGCATATCGATCAACGCAATTGGGATCGATGACATGCAACAACCAAGTCAGCGAGCCTGACCACCCGATCCCGTTAGTCGCCTTTTACGACAAGCATAGTCACCTTTTACGGCAAGCATGGGTTGCTGGAGACCTATTCTACCCCGGAATCTTCACGGGTCTAATTAATATCATGAGCATATCGATCAACGCAATTGGGATCGATGATATGCATCAACCAAGTCAACGAGCCTGACCACCCGATCTCGTTAGTCGCCTTTTACCACAAGCATGGGTTGCTGAAGACCTATTCTACCCCGGAATCTTCACGGGTCTAGTTTTTTTAAAATTATTAACTGTTAACATGCATGCCCAAAGTATACGTGTCCATACTGTTTCCACTGGAACAAAGTCTTCCTATTTAACGTCTTCCTGTCTTTGACCTCCTGCTAACTGATTTCAAGATGGCCAGCAGCTTTATTTGACTTCGATCAATAATCTATTATTTTTTTCAATTGCAAGTAAGTGCAAAGTTCAGAATACGAATGCCTGTTACTTCCTTTTCATGAAAAGAAGAAAAACCTGTTAAACTTCCATCTGTGATATTGAATTGAAAAATGTTCCCTTACTGATGTCATGTTCTTACTGGAGTGAGTGAGTGAGTTGGGTTTAACGCCGCTCTTAACAGTATTCAAGTTATATCGCGGCGTGTCAGCTTAATGTGGGAGGAAAGTCCGAAGTGATGCAGGTCTCAGACGTTTACTAGTTTGGTGAAACCCACGAGCATGGGTATGGTGCTGACAAACCTAGAAACATAATCGGGGCGAACCGGGATTCAAACCCACAATCACAGGTTTCTGGCGTGCCCAAGGGACGGAACTCTGCACATCGAATCGCGGCGCCTTCGACGACTGGGCCACCCGTGCCCCCTGTGCTGACTGGAAGCTTTAGACACTTGGACACTTTACAATTTTGAAATAGTATTTACAAAAATACATATTTTGTTCAAAATGCAATATTCAAGTTTTATGATGGCGGTATGTAAATAATCAAGTCTGGACCAAACAATCAAGTGATTAATATCATGGTCATTGATCCACACACTTGGGGTATGATGACATGCATTAACCAAGTCAGCGAGCCTGGCCGACCGATCCCGTTAGTCGCCTGTTACGACAAGCATAGTCACCTTTTACGACAAGCATGGGTTGCTGAAGACCTATTCTACCGCGAATCTTCACGGTTCACAGTATAGACATGTTTTGATAAAGTTACAAAATTCCTTCATAGAAGTTTTGTACACAGCTTACTGGAGTATTATTTTAATTTTTTAAACATTCTCAGCATTACTTAGCATTAGTAAGAGATCATTGAATAATTCATGGAGATTAAAAACTAAAATTTTGGTAACAGTTTTGACAGCTTGGGTAACAGTATTGACAGATTGTTTGTTTGTTTTTTGAGTCAGCAAAAGTAACATTTAATTTTATTCAGTTTGGTATTATTATACTTTTTGGAAAACTAAACATTCAACGCAATAATGAAGGGTACATGTTAATTAAATTGAACATTAAAACATGTCACTTGTATTTTCGGTAACAGTATGGACAAATTTCATCAAAATTAAAATGTAAATAATCAAGTAAGAATATTTGGTACTTGTTTGTACTTCTATATAATGCTATTGCTATAAGGTAAAAATGCACCCGCAATACCTCAGAAAATTATAACAAAGTCAGCCTTTAAATGATGGTTATTGCTTTATAAACGATGGAGACATATGTTCCAGTAGTATCATCTAATGTTTTTCATCTAAGAGTAAGACTAGTTTGTTAGTTAATGTGTATTGTCTTTTGTTTTGTTCTGAGGACACACGTTATTATTTGTCAATACATAATTTAAAGACATTTTTGTATGTATGTGTAACATGTTATTATTTTTAAATACATAATTTAAAGACATTTTTGTATGTATGTGTAACAACAAAGAACTTATGTTTACATTGCTCTTAAATAATGAGACGATTTCATGTTAGTTTTTTGTTTGGTTTGGTGTGTTGTTTTACGCCGCACTCAGCTATATTCCAGCTATATGACGGCGGTCTGTAAATAATCGAGACTGGACCAGACAATCCAGTGATTGATATCATGAGCATCGATCCACGCAATTGGGATCGATGACATGCATCAACCAAGCTGATCCCGTTGGTCGCCTTTTATAATATATTTTCAGTTTTTCTTCCTTGAAAATTACACACTTCGTGAAATTGACCCATATCTGTATGTTGTTATTGTTTCCTTGTGACCACATGACTTTGTAGATAATATAACTTCACGACATCAAACTAAACGGAAATGTTGAATAGCGTCCTGGCGGATATAGACCCTCGCTCGTGCAAACATTTCATCCAGAGGGTCCCTCCAATGAGGCTCGCTGACTTGGTTGATGCATGTAATCGATTCCAATTACGTGGATCGATGCTCATGATGTCAATCACTGTAACATCTGGTCCAGACTCGATTATTTAAAGACCGCCGTCTTATAGCTGGAATACTGCTGAGTGCGGCGTTAAACAACCAACCAACCAAACCAATCATATGGATGAATGTGTTTTATAAGACAGATGAATACATACGTAAACTGTCAGAAAAATCTAACAGAAAACCTGGACTAATCTTGTTTTCAAGTTGGAAGAGTGAGTGAGTATGGTTTTACGCCGCTTTTAGCAATATTCTAGCAATATCACGGCGGGGGACACCAGAGATGGGCTTCACACATTGTACCCATGTCGGGAATCGAACCCGGGTCTTCGGCGTGACGAGCGAACGCTTTAACCACTAGGCTACCCGACCGCCCCTCAAGCTGGAAGAATCACCTTGCAATTTCTATGACAAAATATCCAGACTCGATTTTTTACAGACCGCCGTCATATAGATGGTTGGTTGGTTTGCTGTTTTACGCCGCACTCAGTAATATTCCAGCAATATGACGGCGGTCTGTAAATAATCGAGTCTGGATCAGACAATCCAGTGATTGATATCATGAGCATCGATCCACGCAATTGAAATCGATGACATGCATCAACCAAGTCAGCGAGCCTGACCACCCGATCCCGTTAGTCGCCTTTTACTACAAACATAGTCACCTTTTACGGCAAGCTTGGGTTGTTGAAGACCTATTCTATCCCGGAATCTTCACGGGTCTCATATAGATGGAATATTGCTTAGTGCGGCGTTAAACAACAAACCAACCAACCAACCATGTACTTATGTTTCACTACTACTACTTACAGTTATGATGTATATCAGGGTGTATATCTAGTTCCTTGTTTCGTATTGTGTTACGGAGGAAGTTAGAACAATGACGGCACTTAACGATGAGTCTTCATTGCAGTCTAACCATGGACATGGCGAGGTTCATCTGCAGAGTAGCATTTATCACAACTGTTCTCTCGGACCACCGTAAGTTCGCATCATGTACTGGCTGATTGTTGGAACGTGCTTACTATGTAGCTATTTTTGAAACTTACTGTTGAACACATTGTTTTCCCATGGTCTATCTGTAATAGTTTTCTGGAACGTTTAGGGGAAATATGGGTAATTGAACAGAAAATAGAAGTATTTCTATTGTTTAACAGATGTTTGTAGCATGTCATATTTGTTCTACTTTATCTTATGCCCGTGAAGATCCTGGTAGAGAAAAGGTCTTCAGCAATCCATGCTTGTCGTAAGAGGCGACTATGCTTGTCGTAGAAGGCGAATAACGGGATCGGGTCGTCAGGCTCGCTGACTTAGTTGATGCATGTCATCGTATCCAATTTGCGTTTATCGATGCTCATGGTGTCAGTCACTGGATTGTCTGGTCCAGACTCGATTATTGACAGACCGCCGTCATATAGCTGGAATATTGCTGAGTGCGGCGTTAAACAACAAACCAAACCAAATCATTACGTTTGTGAGACAGTTTACTGCAATTAGGGCAGTGCCTACGTGCCGGTTCATCACAACAGTTAGCTCAGCAGCCATGTTGCCTGAATAGGTTACTGAGCTCATGTACTGTGGAAATACCGTGTTTATCAAATTCAGTATGTAAGGGAGGTAATCGAATAGTAGTCAAAACATGGTGTGTGATGTCAAACGGGGAATTAATTGAGGTCAATATTGTTCACATTTCTTTCAAGCATGCGTCTGCTGATTAATACGGAAGCCTTCTAGGACCATTTGTTTATTTATTTTTTTCTTGAAATTTCAAGATATTATTTTGAAATGTCAAGATGCCATGTTGAAATTGCAAGATACAAAGTTCAAATTTCAACAGGTGCACACTGTTCCGAGGAAGTTTCTTGAAATTTCAAGATAATTAGTTGAAATGTTGCAACTTATGTATCTTGAAATTTCAACTAAACACCTGGAAATGTTAACGTATCATCATCTATATTACGGAAGCCTTTTTCTGCCAAAGATACCTATGTTTAAATTTGAAATTAAAATCTTATAAATTCAACTCATTTTCTAGATTTCAACATAATATGTATCTTGAAAATTCGACTTATTTTCTGGATATTTCAAGAAAAAAATACCAATCCACTGAGTTGCCTCTGACCACATATCCATTAAGTCGGCTCTGACACTCTGTCCATTAAGTCGCCTCTGACACTCTATCCATTAAGTCGGCTCTGACGCTCTATCCATTAAGTCGGCTCTGGCGCTCTGTCCATTACGTCGCCTCTGGCACTCTATCCATTAAGTCACCTCTGACGCTCTATCCATTAAGTCGATTCTGACGCTCTATCCATTAAGTCGACTCTTGCGCTCTATCCATTACGTCGCCTCTGACACTCTATCCATTAAGTCACCTCTGACACTCTATCCATTAAGTCGATTCTGACGCTCTATCCATTAAGTCGCCTCAGACACTCTGTCCATTAAGTCGTCTCTGACGCTCTATCCATTAAGTCGTCTCTGACGCTCTATCCATTAAGTCACCTCTGACACTCTATCCATTAAGTCGATTCTGGCGCTCTGTCCATTAAGTCGCCTCAGACACTCTGTCCATTAAGTCGCCTCTGACACCCTATCCATTAAGTCGGCTCTGACACTCTATCAACTAAGTCGGCTCTGACACCCTATCCATTAAGACGCCTCTGACGCTCTATCCATTAAGTCGCCTCTGACACTCTATCCATTAAGTCGCCTCTGACCATCCTATCCATTAAGTCGCCTCTGACACCCTATCCATTAAGTCGACTCAGACACTGTATCCATTAAGTCGCCTCTGACACTCTATCCATTAAGTCGCCTCTGACACTCTATCCATTAAGTCGCCTCTGACACTCTATCCATTAAGTCGCCTCTGACACTCTATCCATTAAGTCGCCTCTGACACCCTATCCATTAAGTCGCCTCTGACCCTCTATCCATTAAGTCGCCTCTGACGCTCTATCCATTAAGTCGCCTCTGACACTCTATCCATTAAGTCGCCTCTGACGCTCTATCCACTAAGTCGGCTCTGACGCTCTATCCACTAAGTCGCCTCTGACGCTGTATCCACTAAGTCGCCTCTGACACCCTATCCATTAAGTCGCCTCTGACACTGTATCCATTAAGTCGCCTCTGACGCTCTTTCCATTAAGTCACCTCTGACCCTCTATCCATTAAGCCGCCTCTGACGCTCTATCCATTAAGTCGGCTCTGACACTCTATCCACTAAGTCGGCTCTGACACTCTATCCACAAAACCGGCTCTGACGCTCTATCCACTAAGTCGCCTCTGACACTCTATCCATTAAGTCGCCTCTGACCATCCTTTCCATTACGTCGCCACTGACACTCTATCCATTAAGTCGCCTCTGACCATCCTATCCATTACGTCGCCACTGACACTCTATCCATTACGTCGCCTCTGACACCCTATCCATTAAGTCGCCTCTGACACTCTATCCATTAAGTCGCCCCTGACATCCTATCCATTAAGTCGCCACTGACGCTCTATCCATGAAGTCGTGAAGAGCCGGGTTAAGTCGTTAAGATCCGGGATAAGTCGTGCAGATCCGGGTTGCAACCAATGATTGCCGTAAGGGTAGACCTTATGGATGGGCTGGCCCGACCTGATCATTTTAGTGGATTGGTTATCGTCATACCCTAACGGTAGGTGCTCTCAATATCAATCACTGATTTGTCCAATCGTGACTTTTTTGTGTTTTTTTATATATTTTCAGTTGACATCATTATAACACCAACACGTGCCCCTATAAGGATAATAGAGAGAGATCAAGCCGAAGTCTCCTGTAAGCTTAAGGGTGGTAACAGCAGTTTGTCGTTGAAGTATAGGTGGTTTATTGGGAACCACATTGTCGGCCAAAAATCCAGCATCTTGTTGACAGCTGATAGGCACATGTTCGACGAAGGAAATCTGACATGTGCTGTGCTGGATACCTCCGATGTCAAGTACGGGAGTGCAACTGTGGCCGTTAGTGTACAATGTGAGTACAATACCTCTGCATATAAGCATATTGTATCAGGCACCGGATCTCTTTGGGACCGGGGATGGTCGGGTAGCCTGGTGGTTAAGGCGTTCGCTCGTCACTCCAATGACCGGGGTTCGATTCCCGACATTGGTAAAATGTGTGAAACCCATTTCTGGTGTCCCCCGCCGTGATATTGCTGGAATATTGCTAAAAGCGGCGTAAAATCAAACTTACTCACTCACTCTTAGGGACCGAACATTTGATATTCGGGGGGTGCGTTAGGGAGGGAAGACGTGATTCTTGATGGGTAATTAGGGGTTGTTGGAGCGTCTGGGGTGTGTTATTTTTTTATTTATTTATTGTGAAATGAATTATGGTTGTCATTGTTATCCCCCCGGGATAAAATGTGGGGGTATATAGCGATCAGCCAGTCTGTCCGTCCGTCCGTCTGTCTGTCCGTCCGTCCATCCGTCTGTGACGTGTCTGTCCGTAATCATTTCCTTTACCGGGCAGAACTCGAAAACCATTCAGTGTATTTGATCGAAACTTGGCAAATCTATCAGTCGCATACTGAAGTGGTGCCTTTTCATATTTTTGGATTTTTAGAATTTTTATTTTTTTAAATGTTTATTGAAAGAAGTTGGACATAGACTCCATTGGGGATGGGGTTCTTTTCCGGGGCAGAATTCGAAAACGATTCTGTATATTTGAACGAAACTTGAAAGATGTATCAGGTACATGCTGAAGTGGTGCCTTTTGCTGTTTTGTTATTTTTAAAATTTTGATTCAAAATTTTATTTTTCCTTGTATCTATGGACACAAGTTAGACTTTGCTGAAATGGAGGTAGGTGTCGTTTCTGGAGCAGCACTAAAAAACTGTTCAACAGTGTTGAATTAAACTTGGAACATGTGTTATTCAGGGGTTGAAGTGGTGCCTGTTACTATTTAGGAACTTAGATAGTTTTTTTTCCTGTTACCATGCCAAGAAGTTATATTACACTTTGACTACATCTTTAAAACTAATAGGTATTCGTCCTTGAAACTATGCACACATAGGACCACTTTGTCAACTGGTGCGTTTTGCTATTTAGGGATTGTTAGAATTTATGTTTTTTCCGTTTCCCTGGCAACAAGTTTGACTTTGACTGTTCATGTTAGTATGTACCTGACATAGAAATACAAAGATCCAATGGTATTGTTTTGATAGCTCAATATCTACTCTTGTATACTGACAGACAGATCAGACTTTACAGGCAGATAATTTGTTCTTTCGAATTTGTAGGGGCCGGGGGATTTGTCATCTTCTGATGACCCTTGCTGGTGTATGTTATTGTCGACTACAGTAAACTACGGTTATAACGAACACGCTTATAACGAACTAACGGATATAACGAAATATTTTATTTTGGTCCTGCCTATTTGCTGTAATATATTCCGTACATTTGCTTATAACGAACTACGGTTATAACGAATAAAAAATTAGTGGTCCCTTTGAGTTCGTTATAACCGCAGTTTACTGTACTATAAACCTATGTGTCATGATTTCATGTTCAAGATCCCCCCGAGGTGTTCAGCGAGAGGAGACATGCTGTCTTCAGAGGTGAAGACGCTAGCATCTGCCAGGACGTGAGTGGACACCCAACACCCGATGACTTGAAGTGGAAGAGGGTCGGCGTGAAGTCACCGTGGATCACCTCACACTGTCGCATTCGTCAAGTGAACGAATCCCATGCTGGAGAGTATCTTTTTGTCATGAATAACACAATGGCTGACAATATTCGGTATGAGACAAGGAAAGGAAGAGGCGTTCAACTGGTCAACTTGGTGGTATTGTGTAAGTATAGTTGTACCATAACCTTGCTTGTTCATGTGTCTTCGCGTCCTGACCATTAAAATTAACACCCTAGTTCTCGCTACCGCTAAACAAAGATCTGAGGACATCCCATTAGGGGTCACGTCAGAACGACCTTTCATCCGACCAGTCAGAGCGTCACTTACCAGATCATGAAAGTGACAGTCGGAATGTGATTTCTAATCATACATCCTCGAAAACATTAACACGAAATATTCCGAACGATAGTTACGGGCTTAACGACTGAATCCATACAATTCCCATCTCCCTTACATTCTTACTGTATGAATTACATGATAGTTTTAATGAAATAGAAATTCAAATTGACAAACAAAGAAAGTAATATAGTAGCCGTAAGTGTATTCGGCGTCAAGACATTCATCACTTGTTTGTTAATAAAACGGTCATTCGGTTGCGAATTCAACTCCAAGCATGGCTGGAACCACCTATCACAGTGGGGAGTTTTGACTGGTGGCAGCGATAGTATTTTGAGAGCTCATCAGAAATGAGCGGGCTACTGTAACTTGATTGACCTTTTTCACACTTTCGCCATCTTGGATCGAAAACGAGGCTTGGAGAGCATAGCTCCATGCAGTGAGAGTCGCATCAGCTCATAGGGAACAGACAGCATGTTGTGCATTTCACTGATGGACATTTTAAACAAACAAAAAATGGTATCCTCTGTATCTAATACAGAAGATATTTCACATTAAATCATGAGGTCCAACTAAAATATGCCTGTAATACACTGGAATTAGCATTTTGCTGTCAGGATCCCGGAAGTGAATCGAAAGGTGCATTTCGAGATACGTATTTCAGAAATAGATTGTTTTATCATAACCTCGTCGGCATATAGATACAATGTGACAGTACATTCAATGACAGAAGTTTTGTATCGTAAATAAACCGCATAACATGAAACATGTCAGTGTACTTTTGCAAAATTGCTCAGTCAATGCGTGGCTTGGCGAACTCTAGATCAAGATTAAGATCATGTTTATTTCACGTTTCATAGTGGTGTTTGCTGCACAACGCACTATCGTTTTGCCATGAGTCCAGTTGACAAAAGACACTTGTTCTGCTAAGATTTTCATTTTAACATATTACAATGTTAATTATGAAAATAATTTGTGTGTCAAAATAAATATTCAGAAGGGGCGATAACTCTATTCAGTGTGTACAATGACAGATGATACTTTCAAACATCACTTACTTAACTGATTATTGCCGATTGAGATTGCACCGTGCACGACAAAAGTAATAATGTGTGAACTGTTTAAAATAAGTTAAAGGGAAACTAAAAATTGATAAATATAAATAATGTATGAAATTGAGTGAGTGAGTGAGTGAGTATGGTTTTACGCCGCTTTTAGCAATATTCCAGGAACATCACGGCGGGGGACACCAGAAATGGGCTTCACACATTGTACCCATGTCAGGAATCGAACCCGGGTCTTCGGCGTGACGAGCGAACGCTTTAACCACCAGGCTACCCGACCGCCCCGTATGAAATTGAAGAAATATAAGAATTGATACAACTACCAACTTCTTGAACACCCTCACCTAATCCTGTATGATGATAGGTAATTGTATATCAAAAGGAAGCTACTAATACATTTATCCTGATTAGTTTGAAAATGTCTTGATCAGATATGAGTACAGATAAAATAATAAAAGATATAAAGGAATCAACTTCAATTGGTAATCAAGCCAAGATAAAATATATGTATCGGTACAAATTTTGTTGATGGAACAATCTGGATTTCTCATATTTAACAAAGAAAAACAAACCAAAATTTTCATATCTTTATTTCTCACAATATAAGTTTTCAAAACTTAACATGGACTGTTGTCTTTGTCAGTCAAAAGCACCTAATTAGATTCCAGGAGAAAATAAGTTTCTTGCTTGTAAACAAATGGTACAATGTGCTTTTTCAGTTCCGATAAATATTGGCCATGTTGATTTGTGAGTGAATAAGGCTTTTCACTTCCTCGTCCTATTTAAGTGAAATATGACAGGAAGCACATTTGTTGATTAAAGATTATGGCTTTTGACTTCCTCGTCCTTTGACAGGACGCACATTGTAACCATTGTGTTACTGTCAGCAGAAAGCTCCTCCAGACATCCGTCACCAGATACTAGTACTTCATTGTGTTGACTCGCTGGCCTGAAATGAATAATTCAATAATATTGTAATAATATTCCTACTTCAATAAAAAAATTTATAAACAATGCATATTCACCTTCTCCCAAAATATTGCTTATTTAGAAAACAACATTCTTCTGAAATAGAGACGTTTAAGGAAATTTAATCACAGTGTGTAACATTACATGCTACTTAAGAACAATCTTGAAGGCATCAATTCATCTGTTTCATGTGCTATCTAGCCTTCAACTTCTGCTCTCCAAGCCTCGCTTTCAAACCGGAAGTAGCGAAGTGTGAAAAAGGTCAATAATGCCCTCATATTGCTTGACGACGGGCCATTATCACGCCTGTTGTTAGGTGACGTCATAGGATTGGGATAGGTGACGTCACGTTGAATAGTGACGTCATCTGTTTTGTTCTATGAGGTTTCCATATTTGTAAAAAAGGGCCGGTGACATTCGTGTTGATTGCAGTTTATGTTTCTACTTCCCCGAGCAGTTAATTGAAAACCTCGAAATTCTGCAAATGATAATGCCCTGAAAAATAGCGTTACCCTTATAATCGATTTTGGACATAACTCTGGCTCATAACTTGAATCGTTTTTTGTTGCAGATGGTGCTCGGGCGATCTGCCCGAGTAACTACACAGCGGTTGTGAACACCACGGCGGTGCTAGCATGTGAGGTAGATGCTTCTCCGGCCGCCCACATCACCTGGTCTCGAGCAGGAGGTCCTGCAGCTCTGCCTCAGACTGGCTCCTACCTCAGGATGCCCCGTGTCCAGGTCTCCGATGCAGGCGACTATACATGCTCTGCATCCAACACCATCCGAGAGTACACCGGCAGGGTCTACACCATGAACGACTCGTGTACGATACGGCTGATTGTCCGAGGTAGGATTTGTTTGTTTGTTTGTTTGTTTGTTCGTTATACCTGATAAATCGCTGACAAGGGTGTTAAACTAAATATGTTTAATAAATTTTGTTTAACGCCGCACCTGTTGAGTGAGTGTGTGTGTGTGCGTGCGTGCGTGCGTGCGTGCGTGCGTGTGTGTGCGTGCGAGTGAGTCAAGTGGCGAGGACGGATCGGGTTTCTGGCATGCCTTAGGTCAGAAGCGAGTACTATGTTCAAGCATTCCTAAGATTGCCAATTGTGATACCAATAAACAAAACACATTCGAGGTGTTTATTCGTTAAAAAAAGTTCATGTTTCACGTACATTAGCATCAATCTATCGAGTGGTGGAAACGCACTACCTGGTTGATTGTTTATCGCATTGGCGTGGCCGTTGTCGCGTATGCCAATGTGGGTATCTTGTACTTACAACGGGGTTATATTACAATTACTGATTTTGTGCAATACCCGGATATCGAGGCCGGTATAAAGAAGACAGTAATGGAAGAATGGTAGACTGTGGCAGAAAACATTTACTGTTACACGGATACCTCATCTGAACTTTGCTGTCAACCGTACAATAACTGCAGATGCCCTATCAAGGGGCGGAGCATCCTTACCCAGTTTAAGAGGACGTACCACAAAACACAGTTAAGATCCCGGTTAAAATAGGTCTTCAGCAAGTTATTCTTTCCGTAAAAGGCGACTATACTTGTCGTAAGAGGCGACTAACGGGATCGGGTAGTCAGTCTCATTGACTTGGTTGATGCATGTCATCGTGTCCCAATTGCGTGGGTCAATGCTGATTATGTCTATCACTGGATGGTCAGGTCCAAACTCAATTATTTACAGACCGCCATCATACAGCTGGAATATTGCTGAGTGCGGCGTTAAAACAACACACAAACAACCAAAAACAAAACGAAGTTCGGTCTCTCGATACAGCAGCGCATTAGGCCAAAACACATGTCTCAAGTGACTGGCAGTGTGGTTCGCTCGCTCAATAACTTGTCTCACCCCTTGGAACACTACAACCACCTACCCATTCCAACCCCTCTGGATCCGCCAGTCACCTGTCCTTCTATCTTTGTCAGGGGGCACGGGTGGCCCAGTCGTCTAAGGCGCCGCGATTCGCTGTGCAGAGTTGCGTCCCTTGGGCACGCCAGAAACCTGTGATTGTGGGTGCGAATCCTGGTTCGCGCCGATTATGTTTCTAGGCTTGTCAGCACCATACCCGTGCTCGTGGGTTTCACCGAACTTGTAAACGTCTAAGACCTGCATCACTTCGGGCTTTTCTCCCACATTAAGCTGACACGCCGCGATATAACTGGAATACTGTTAAAAAGTGGCGTTAAACCCAACTCACTCACTCACTTTGGCAAAATGCCTGTCAGTTTTAGAAATACCATGATTCACGTAAATAAGCTACACTCTCTCCAGAATAAATATCATGTGCTTACTAGCGAAAACGTTAATATACCGCTGTATATGTGTATATAATGTATACATTGTGTCCTATCTTCCTTTTACAGGCAACTTGTCCGAAGCAGTGACCGCAGATGCACCTTCCGTCCTTGTTATCTATAAAACACACTTCATAGCTGCAAGTGTTGGGATTGTCGTTCTTGCGTTGGTCGTGGTCCTCGTTGTGGTATACGTCAGAAGGCGGTCAAAATTGCAAGGTTTGCCATTGTGAAGTATGAGTGAGTGAGTGAGTGAGTGAGTGAGTGAGTGGGGGTGCGCATTATGCTCGGGTGCGCCTATACTCAAGAAAATACGGTACTCCAGGAATAGGGCGTGGTGTTACACCACTTTATTGTACAGGCTTTCAATTGAAGGACTCTTGAGTTGTATCAGTGTAAATTACCGTAGCGGTGTAAATAACCGTATCGAGTAAATTAGACAGGAAACATTAGACCATGCTTGTCCACAAGCTTAGAGATAAATAGTTTATGATTTGTCACTCTTTGCAAGGAAAGGAAAGACGGAAAATATATTTCAACATTAAAATATTGTCATCAGCGTGACAATTTAACGTTTCATTGCATTCACTGCGGAATACCGCTTAGCAGGGCTCGGCTTCCGGCGTAGCAAAGGGAGGCTGGCAACCTCAATAGAAAATGTCAACCTACCGCTTCAGTAGGAGTGTTACTTTATAGAGTGCATGTGTTTCAGACAATTCTGAACCCGTGAGAGTGGATGGAGACAACGGCTCCTACATGCACAGCACGTACACTGGTGGAGGCAAACCACACGCACACAACTACGACGTCACCAGCGCTGGCAACCAGACCCAGCATTACTACAGACAGGTCCACCGGGACGCTGAAGGTTACTATGGAAACGTGGAGACAGCTGACCCGCAGGATTATGTCAATTATCACCCAGAAGAACACACAGACGCAAGTTACCCTGGTAATGTAACTGTACAGGAACGCAGAAATGAGTTTTACTATGGCAACGTAGACGAAACTGATATTTATCAAAATGTTTAAATCGGAATTTCGTTATCAGATTTGTATTCAGTTATACAAAGCTAGATCGTTTCTGCGTTTCTATTTTCGGTTTGGGAGGGTCACTCTGGTGTTGCTTTTAATACCGACACCAGATTTCCCCTCGGCATTTCAAGGCAGATAACGAGTTGCTGCTGGCAGTGGTTCAGTTGAGTGAGTGAGTGAGTGAGTGAGTTGGGTTTTACGACGCTTAACCCCCTGGATGCCAGAGGGACATATATATGTCCCTCCTCTACAACCCTCACTTTGAAGTCGAATAAAATTCAACATACATCATGCACACTAATACACATCACAATTTTGAATAAGGTGGGAGATTCCCTGTTCTGTGATATAATTCATTGGCTTTTTAGGCCAAGCAAAAGTACAAAAAATGACCTCTGAAAATTAGGTACTTCGTAAATGTCGCCATGTTTTACACATTACTAAATCACCACTCGCCGCGTTATTTACAGCATGTTCTGGAATCTAAATTTCGGATATTTACTCCGAGAAATGAATTTCAAAAATAGCATATTAGTGATCACGGGTATCTGTCCTTTATGAAATCACCAATGATCATTCAAAAACGTCTCCGATAACCCTAGAATCGTTTAGAATGTTTTGGAAAATACGCAAACACGAACGCCGAAGTGAACTTTCCGCCATATTGGATAGCGTTTACAAAATCACGTTTCAGGTACACCGGTTATGAGGCGCCTGTAACATCCCGTATATTCCAAACTTTGCTGCGATACACACATCCTTGAATTCCTCATACATTTTAGAATCGAATGAACAATGGTCTTTGTCACCAATACGAAGTGGCTGGATGAAATCAAGCAATATAAGTCAGGTGTGAAAACGAACGCTGTGCTCGAAACACTGCACTTGTTTGAAGTGTAAACAAAGCAAAATACAGATTTTACACACTGTAGCATTTTCTCCTATTTTGAGCTTTCCATTCGTCTATTCGTTCAAAATATTGGCTCAACATTTGCAGAATAGTCATGGGAAGAGAATCGTAGGAAGAAATAGGGAATTTAAAATAGATACATTGACAACTTCTGTTGAAAAAGCCAAATCAATGCAAAGTTACCGTCCTGTGTGACGCCATGACTGACGCAAAATCACGCACAACGACAACTGTATTTATCGGAATTTCAGACTATTTCGGTTTGTTTCAATGAAAATTATAACAACCAATAACAGTACATAGATTGTCAGAATGTTTCTGATTACTTACATGTCACATTTATGTAAATACGATCCCTGAATCAACGAAAGTCCCCTCGTAAAATCCCGCGTACTGTTGACAGTCAACACGCCATTTTGTAAAAGTCGGTCACAGGTAGTGATGTCATACGTCAACATTGTTGTACATATTTGGTAATTTCTTTGAGGTGAAGGTCTTTGAATGAGAGTGCACACGATCATTGTACCATGCTGTTTACAGTTTCAGTTATGATGTAGATTTTGCATATCTTTTATACATTTTTTCACACAATTAGATTCTAATTTCACTTTGGACATTTGTCAATGTTCAAAATGATATCATACGTAAATATCGGCCACAACATGTATGAAGGAACCTTGATAATCTCCTGTTTGTTTGAACATTGTTTACATAACAATTGATAGGTTTTTAGTGTCGCATACGATATTTCTTTCCTTTGGACAAGTGTTACAAGAAGTGTAAATGTAACTGCAGCATGTACGCATTTCTTGGGATGTGCAATCGTCAATATTTTAAGTTCATATTAGCAAAGTCCATGAATAGCCGTTTCATTTTATTTTATAACTAAAACTGAATATATTACTTTTACAACCAAAAAATCGGTAAAATAAATGCACACATTTCTGAAAGAACTGTCTTGGTCTTGGAACTGTTTTTGATGTCGTTTGATACACAGAACAGTGATATCTAACGATTCGCCAGGTGCGTGTTAGTCACACACATTTTACGAATTATTCCTCTCGTTTTGCATTATATAATCAATGGGTTCATTCTTTTTTCAATATTGTGATCACGGGATATTAAACTGTTTACTTAATTTCTCCAGATATTTTAAAATGTATAAAATAAAATCCATGCCAGGTACCCCGTTGGTTCAACCTTATACGATTATCCTGATAATTCTATACCAATATGATAGTGCTTTCTTGGTATCTTTTATTGTTTCATTCTGAGACGAGATGAAGAGAAATACTAACCATGATAATGAACAAATATATGTCCTGAATATAATTTTGGTTGTTTTGAAATATTCTTTTGCGAATTTCATAACGTAAATTGATGCCAAACAGGTGCGTGTCCTGTCCAATTAAGATACACGATAAACTATCTAATTGTTTACATATTCAAGACATTATTTACTTGGTGAAAGCAGTAATTTTATGTTGTGTCGAAAAAGCGTCAAATTCCGTTTTACACATCGAGATTTTCCAAACCATGAACGAAATTTATGGGAGATATATATAAATCAAAATACCAGTGTCGTCTTTCTCCGACGTTATCAAAGACATAAAACCAGCCATGACGTCAAAAGGAATGGTGTTATTTTAGGGTTTTTCATTACATTTGATGATAAAGCTAGTGCTCCATTAATAATGGTGCACCATAAGTCAAATTACACTTACACACTCAGGAGAATGTTGGGATATAAGGACTAAGTTATAGGTTAGATAGGGCCATCCATTTCTCTATTACCTCTTTTTTTATGAAGTACGATTTCATCATTTCTTGTGGGTTTTATTTATAAGAAAACGTATACAGTTTCAATATCGATATTTGTGTTGGAATAGTTTGGTTCCTCGTGAACGAAACACAACGAAAATACATTGTCCTTACCCACAGCTAATTCTCACCAATTGACCTGAGTTACAATAACCTAGTGCTAAGCATAGCGGAGTTATGCCCCCTTTTCTTTGTACGCGTGTAACCTCTCGGTCGCCTTTTGACGTCATAGAGAAAAATCAGTTTTCGTCATTTACGGCATGCTATTTTTGGCATTAAATGTATGTCGTTACACATACGCATATAACTCCATTTGATATATAGTTATGTCGTTCAGATATTAGTCAGTATTTTGTTCGCTGACAGTTTCCGTAAAGCTTCGAAATATAAAAAATCGTCGCACAGTACTTTTATCGATGTACGATAAAAAGCGGAGAAATTTACTGTTTTTCAACGCAGAATAAATTCTAGGACAACACTTAGAAGCGTATTTCTTTCAAACTGGTTTGATATTTGCAGTTAACTTAACACCATCAAATAGGAAATTTAATATTCTCCACCTCTGCGTAATTTTATAGCCAGAGGTAGATCCAGTGCCGCGTGAGCGCAATTTTCGCACAACCTTCACTTTTCCGATCTTAGGAAAATGTGCGTCAGAAAAAAAACTCGGCATCCAGAGGGTTAAGCAAGATTCTAAGCAGCTATAATACGGCGGGAGGCACCAGACATAGGCTTTAAACATTGTACTCAAGTTGGGACTCCACAACGGGATATTAGGGCAAAGTTTATACATGTAGTAACTCACTAAGAACGCGATTTAAATTGTTTGTTGAGATCCCAGCTGAATCGCTCGGTCCACAAAGCGATCAAAACTTTAGAGAGTTGACGTCATAAATAACAACGGTGACGTCATAATGTATTTACACACTCTAGCGACGATTTAACAAGTGTAGGGAGACATTTGAATTCAAATCTACAGTATTTGTAAACTAGCATTGTAACATTTACGATTGAAATGACAAATCTATATTAATACATTCTAGATTCGATTTGAGTTTCATCAATCGGATAAACATTTGTTCTTTTTTCCAATCTCTGCTACTGGTATACAATTTATCAAACGGAAAAAATACCAAATTTCCCGTTTCCGCAATCATCAATGTGTTTGCAGACACTGCATCGAACATTAGGGCCTCTAATCGGCTGTTTGTGTACAGTGACTCGATCTTTTAATTCCATGCCGGTTTCACCGATGTAGTTTTCGCCGCATCCCGAACATCTCATAACATACACCACATCTTTGCTGCAGCAGTTCATGCCAGCTTTCAGACTGAAACTCTTGCCATTTGCTAAAAAGGAAAGTTGTACTTTCACTTATGATGTTACACGCGCCGCTGCTTGGTGTGTTACATGTACATCTAATAACACATGATACACTCTCTGTACAAGAACACTTGGAAGGACAAAGAATTTGCTTGACATTTTTTGGTTGCCTGGTACTTTTTATAATTTTAATTATCTTCAGTCCTTGTTTCATTTTATCGCATTGCTGTAGAATTGGGAGGTTGTCCCTAATGACCGGCATGATATCACAGTTATTAGGATTGAAGGTGGATACAAACGGAATAATTTGATCGCCCACTGATTTATCATTAGGTTTCAAGAGAGCATGTCTTGGAATTTTTATCGACTTTTGTCTGCGTCATTTATGACGCGAAGCGGATATCCTAGCTTCTTGAGATGCCCAATCAATTCTTTCAATCTTAAGTCTCTTTTACCCGTTTCCCACACAATGGTGCATACTCTCCGCGCAAGTGAATAAGGACTGTTAGCTCTTGTATGCCTGGGGTGACATGAGCGAATTGTTAGATGGGTGTCCGTTGGTTTGTTAGTGCATATCGGTTTTCAGTTTCGTATCTTCCTTAACTACGAGGACGTCTAGAAATGGAACTTCGCTGTTTCTAAACTCTAAAGTAAAATTGATCAAAGGATGGGGCGATTTTAAAATATACGTCAGTCCCTAAAATTGATTGTACTTACGATCGGCTTATTCAGGAAGCGATAAGGTTGTCGTAAGTCAGCGCATATTGACTGTTAAGTGTTGGCTTCCATTTCTCCATTGCTAATTACCTATCAGCGCCAATTATTTGCTTGCTTCCCTTGTTAAAAAAGGTTTCAACCTTTGTTATCTTAATTCTTTTGATGTTCTTACAGGTATAATATATACATGTATATGTTCTCTGCCTCGTAGCATTTATTGATGAAGCAGTAAGTACTAGTACTAGTATCTACTCCGAAACGTTGTGTATTTCATAACAAAGAAGACGACATCCATAAATTCTCTTCCTTATGTGTATCACATTTAAATGCCTTTTAATGACTTCATCAAGCTGTAGGATTTCTTTTTATCATTTTATCTTCAATGATGTTGCCTCCTTGTGTTGCATGTAATCTATCTATTTTTGACATGTGGCCATATCAATATAACGCACGTTGTCCCTTTCCTGTTAGATGTCCGTTTTGTTAGATGTGAGATCATATAAATAGTGACAGTTTAGCTTACAAGATACCACAAGGAAATCTCCAACACATAACAAGGAAATATACATACAATGCATCTAACGTATACTAGTACATGAAATTCAATCTTGGGAATGCCCTGAATCGATGGAAAACCCCTGCGTGTTTTACCTCCGTCACCAATGATTCCGTCGCCTACTGTCTTAGCTAAGATCCCTATCGTAAATAAGATACCGTTGAGATGGGTTTAAGACAGCTTCAAGAATAACAGTCGTCTGAGGGTTCGCAATTCACTATGCATTGTTGCGTCCCTTGGGCACGCCAGAAACCTATGATCGTTGGTTCGAATTCCGCTTCGCCCCGATTATGTTTCTAGGTTTGTCAGCACTTTACCCGTGCTCGTAGGTCTCACCTAAGAGGAAAACATCTAAGACCTGCATCACTTTGGGCATTCCTACAGTAAGCTGATTCGCCGTGATATGACCAGAATACTGTTTATCGCGGCGATCCCAGGTATTAATTTACACACATGAGCCATTTGAAAATTAATAATTTCACCAGGCTGCTTAAACCAATCGAAACTTGAACGTTGCGAGCTTACCAACAAGAGTACCGTGTTGTCAGTGACACGATGTACGGACACAGTGAGGTGGCAGCTCTCAAACAATAGTTACTTGTGAAGCTCAACCACTCTGAAAGGAAACGCAATTCATGGTGTCAGCATTATATGATCTCGCAGCGGCGAACAATACTCGGAAATAGGCTATTGGGCTTTCAGTTGAAAGAGAAATTCGAAATACTTGACACATCCCACTACGAATGTCTTATTTGGAGTATTTCCACTTGTCATTGTGGCATCACTTGTGCTTTGGATTCATGCTTGTGTTACTCATGTAATTACGATTTTAAATGTTAATACAATCGAAACTTGTGTCGAACTTGGATGTGTCGAATTCCGGTTGTCTTGAATTCACCTTCCGGTCCCTGCGCTTTCCTTCTACATTTATGATACTTTTTACAACAAAACACAATATTACGTGATGCATGTATTTTATTATTTGTTTCGTTCAAACCAGTATGTTTAGTATGAAACCACAGGTGACTAGATTACTTGTAATTATCACTCATAGTATAATGTTTGGTATTCGAAAATTCGCTTTGCTGGCTGTCTCGAACCCCGGATAACTCGTACCCACGATTTCGAAACATCGAGGTTGAACTGTAGATATGTCTGTTTTTGTTGTTTGTTTGTTGTTTAAGTCCGCACTCAGCAATATTCCGGCTATATTTCAGACAATCCAGTGATTGACACCATGAGCATCGCTCCACGCAATTCGGATACGATGACATGCATCAACCAAGTCCCCTAGCCTGACCCTCCGATCCCGTTAGTCGCCTCTTACGACAAGCATGTGATCAACGGAAATGGCAGTACTTATTTTGCGATGAAGGGTTGTTGAGCAAACCAGTGGTGTGTGTTTCCTAACACCATATGATGGACTGAAAGGTTCATGCAACAGCATTCTTGCTAATAATTCGTTCCAACCAGTACCACAAGCCAATTCATTCTTGTCGTAAGAGGCGACTGAATAGATGGGTGATCAGGCTCGCTGACCTTCTTGATGCATGTCATCGTATCCCAACTGCGTGGGTTGATGCTCATGATGTCAATCACAGGATTTTCTGGCCCAGACTACAATTTATACTGCTGGAATACTGCTGAATGCGACGTTAAACAACAAAGAAACAAAACATGCATACGATTTATTATTGTCCGCTAATCGGAAAATTCCTTATTATAGTGTTTTTATGATATGGTCGGATTGTACAATTGACTCTGCTTTTAGAAGAGATTTCTGATGAATATGGAAAGGGTTTTCCTCCCTTTATTTATTTACCAATCAACAATTGTCTGTGTTTTGTATTATTCTGAGAAAATAAAATGATATTTGAATGAATATTGGCCATGTGCATTCCTTGGTGAGGAACATAGCATCTGTACACTCCAGTGAAGAATTAACGATGTCCATGTATCTGAGTGTGATGCTTCGGTATATGTCATGTATTGTATCGCCTTCATGCTCTTGTGATAGTTAAACGATTGTTCCTTGCCAATTAATACTTTTGAATTTGACATTTCATTGTATGCACCACGCACATGAGCGGCCAGTGTCGCATCTGTACAAAATAAAGCACTAAACCCTCCCTGTATTCTCCTGTCTTGGTTTCCATGGCTGACTCGGAGCTTGGTTTAAGGCCGCTTTAAACAGTATTTCAGTTATGATAAGGCCTAGAAGTTGAATATGGGAGGAGAGCCCGAAAGTGCACAAGTCAGAAACGATGAGTGAAACCCATAGGCAGGATTATGAGGCTGTCATAATCGGTGATAATCAAGAATTCGAACCCGCGACCACCCTTTGGGATTCCATGTTGGCGTGGGCTGCCGTAAGCCATGGTTACCGTAGGAGGCGACAATTCGATCGGTTGTCAGACTCTGATACTTGCACAGAGTGGATCGTTTGCTATATTATCAACCTATGGTTTGTCTGGCCCCGGCTCGATTATTTACATCGCGGTCATATTCCTGGAATATTCCTTAGAGCGGGGGGCGGTCTGGTAGCCTAGTGGTCAAAGCGTTCGCTCGTCACGCCGAAGACCAGGGTTCGATTCCCGACATGGGTACAATGTGTGAAGCCCATTTCTGGTGTCCCCCGCCGTGATATTGCTGGAATATTGCTAAAAGCGGCATAAAACCATACTCACTCACTCACTCCTGAGAGGCGGCTTTGAGCAACAAACAAACAAGCAGATCGAAACCACGATCATCTGAATGTGGTACAATTGAGATTCTCTACTTTGTAAAGTGGTGCCTCCGATGATGAGGCCTGTGTTCCCTTTCCCATCATCTCTATGACGACGTTATGGAAATATTCAGACAATGCATGTAAGTGGCAAAGTCCATCTAGATTGATGGCTATTGGTCCAGGCCACTTGACATGTTCGTAGACAAGCTGGCACACGCTCTCAGTACTTGCTTTACAAGGCATTCACATGGGCTGGCTCATCGTCCTACTATCTCTGTTCCTGTTGATCGGTCCAGGTAGGTCAAATATACATGTAAATGATATCACTTTTTGTTAACAACTCATTTGAGTATGATTATTCAGTTTTGTGTGTTTGTTGTTTAACGCCGCACTCAGCAATATTCCAGCTATATGACGGCGGTCTCTAAATAATCGAGTCTGGACCAGACAATCCAGTGATTGATATCATGAGCATCGATCCACGCAACTGGGATACGATGACATGTATCAACCAAGTCAGCGAGCCTGACCACCCGATCCCGTTAGTCGCCTTTTACGACAAGCACAGTCGCCATTTACGGCAAGCACTGGTTGCTGAAGGCGTATTCTACCCCGGATCTTCACGGGTCATATATTCAGTATATCATTGGCGCCTGGTCAAGTAAACTCAGGAATCCCCGATCATGTTAATCCAAAAAGGACGACCTTCGTGGTCTAGTGGATATTCCATCTCTCCGGCAAGCATGGGTTGCTGAAGACCTATAAAATGTGACTATGTTTTTCGTAAAAGGCGACTAACGGGATCGGGTTATCAGGCTCGCCGACTTGGTTGATGCATGTCATCGTATCCCATTTGCGTGGATCGATGCTGATGACATTAATCACTGGATTGTCTGGTCCAGACTGGATTATTTACAGACAGCCGTCATATAGCTGGAATATTGCTGAGTGCGGCGTTAAACAACCAACCAACCAACCAACCAACCATCTCCCCGGAGGGCGAAAAGTCCGTGGTTCGATCCCTAGCCGCGTTGTACGAACAGAAGTTTAAGACGGTGCTTGTTGTTACACTGCCTGGAGCTCGGCATTCACGTCACTATATATCAGTGCAATAATCATGAACGTGACGTCAAACCCCGTATCACCTCACTTCGCCTCTTCCAAAATTAAATACAAGCAATTCGAAATGTCAATAGCTAAGATTAAATTCGTAAGCGTTGTGTCATTTAAGGTATTTCGACACTGATAACTAACGTTTCCAAGAAGTAGATTCTATATCCCTCTTTGGGATTCCTGCAGGGCCCACTTGCACAAAACGCTAAGATGATCGTAACTCCCATACTTTAACATAGCCTTACGATAGTCTTAGCGCTAAGACAGCTTTGTGCAAGTGTTTCCAAGAAGTAGATTCTACACCCCCCCTTGGGGATTCCTGCAGTGCCCACTTGCACAAAACGCTAAGATGATCGTAACTCCCATACCTTAACATAGCCTTACGATAGTCTTAGCGCTGAGATAGCTTTGTGCAAGTGGATCCTCCCGGCACCCCATGCTGGTCGTAAGAGACGACTTGTGATTGATATTATGAGCAAAATCCATGCCGCGAGGTACGATAACACGCAATCCACCAAGACATCGACCCTGACCACCATCTTCCCGACACAAGAGAGTTCAGTGACTTTAAAAGTCAAGTTTCCACCCTTGCCGAACTAGGCTGGAATTCCTGGGCTCGATCGTATCGCCACCAGGGGTTATTACGAGCTATGTCCCTTCTAAACGTCTCCTATAGACCAATCAGATTCCACCTTTTGTATCACTTGGATTTGATTCAAACAAAATGGCGTCGCCCAGTATAGACGATCTGATCGATAATCAAGATTTATATTGTGATAAAGCGGGTCTTAAATGCATGAAATCACGTGAGCACCTTGATAAAAATCATGAAAATATTTGAAAAATATCTGTTGACAATGACTTGGCGGTGCACATGTTTTGCAAATCCTGCAATCGACCGAATTCAGCACGACAATTTTCAAACCGGATTTCGATATCGGAGCGCGATTTTGATTGGACTATCCATAGACTCGTTAGCCCAGCCAAAATGTAACTCCATTATACCAGCCTAGCTCGGCAAGGGTGGAAACTGGACTTTTATAGTCAGTTAAATCTCTTGTCTAGGGAAGATGCTGACCACCGACGCTTCGAACGACAAGCGTAGGTTTATGAGGACCAAATGTAACCCGGAATCCTCTAGGGGGTGACTCGTTGGACAAAAATCTTTGATTTCTCTTTCACTGCAGGCGACCCTGACTTGATTCGACTTGTCCCAGGAACGTTTGCGGGTCGCCTGGAGATCTACCATGGAGGAGCCTGGGGCACTGTCTGTGATGATGGATTTGATTTGAATGATGCTAAAGTTGTCTGTAGAGGATTTGGCCTAAACGCGTAATAAACATTATAAACATTGTCAAATATCGTATTTGTCAAGCTAATAATATATGTGGAATGTAGGATATTTCATGAGATCATAATATTGTGCAATTTTAATCGATTGTATTTTAACACCTACATAATTATATATTTAATATTCATTCCATATACCTATTTAATAATAATAATAATAATAGAGAATAATAATAATAATAATAATAAATCGAACGATTACAATAGGTCTCTTGCCTTTCAGGCATAGAGCCCTAATAATAATAATAATAATGTGGAGTTTCGTAAAAAGCCAGCTCCACACATGAACATGCACACAGTGTTAACATCAATACCCGGATAATAGATCGGTGTGCTCTCAGTCTTACTATTTGATTGTTTTAGTTTAAGTGTCAAGGCTTCTGCTCACTATGGACAAGGAACTGGCTCTATCATGATGGATGATGTCGCTTGCACTGGAAGTGAGATGTCCTTAGATCGGTGTTCACATCCAGGCTGGGAAACACATAACTGCGGCCATGGCGAGGACGTGGGTGTGGAATGTGTCTCTGGTATATTCTAAGACATTTACCTATAACATGGTATCAAACGTGATCTAAGTATATATGTCATTGGTAGCAGTGATCCCTGTGGTTAAAGTGTTCGCTCTTCAAGCCCCCGCATAGTTACAATATGTCCGTTTCTGGCGTCACCTCCCGCTATATGACAGGCATATTGATATTTATTGATTGTTATTAAATATATAATTTATTTTCTGCCATAACTCAAAATATAAACGATATTTTGCCTGATGAAACCTGATTGAAGCATGACCAAAGACGGAGGTCATGGCGATTGTTCCCTTCAATAACGTCTTCTTGCTAGTCTATTTGAACAATATTTGTTACATTTTGGAAAAAATGAATGAATCAAAATACAATCGTCGTACTGATTTTTCGCCAATCTAAAGTTGTTCAATTCTTGGCTTATAGTTCCCGGCCAGCCCTTCATGTACGGACCTGCCCGCACCCGGCTCGTATCCCCATCAGCTGGGGGGCGTCTTGAGGTGTTTGTCCAGAGCTGGGGCACGGTGTGTAGTGACAGGTTTGACCGTAACGACGCCAAGACAGCCTGCAGGGGACTCGGTCTACCCACGTGAGTCCTAGGATTGTTTGTTTGTTGTTTAACGCCACAATATTCCAACTCTATGGCGGCGACCTGTATACAATAGAGTATGGACCAGACAATCCAGTGACGGATATTATGAGCAACAATCCACTCAGTCGGGTTGACATGCAATCATCCAAGTCGTTTTGACCGACCATCTGATCCATAAAGTCGCCTATTACGACCCGCAAAGATACAAGTGACCACTTATAACCCTGATTCCCTACGTAAGTGCAATGTTGAAACAGAATGGCAGATATCCGTTATCTTTCAGATCAAAGTACCTCATGTGTGGATGAGTTAACGTTTAAAGACACGTCGGCAGTATTTGAGCCATATTATGACGTGGCCTTTATATATATTCTTAATGTTGTACATATAATTACTGCTACAACCATGTCTACGGGGACAGTGACATCCTCTTGTCCTCGCCACTTGAAATAGAATCACGAAATATCGCGATGATTAATTGACGAAAAAAGCTGCATGTGTGCTAATACGTATAAAGTGAAAACAGGCTATTCCGGTGATAAGCAATAATACTCAAAGCAATGACAAACATTGCAAAATGTACTATTCAAGAAATGTCCACTTCGTTAGCGATAAACATCACCACAGATGTATTTTCGACTAGATACATCTAGTGATGTTCAAGGACGTAAACCCATTCTTGCTTACGTCCTTCCAATAAGACATGTGTGTATGTAGTGACGCTCCATGACGTATACCCATGTGTTACTGACGACCTTCCATGGATGCGGTGACGCTCCATGACGTATACCCATGTTTTACTGACGTCCTTTCATGTATGTAATGACGCTCCATGACGTATACCCATGTTTTACTGACGCACTTCCATGGATGTGGTGACGCTCCATGACGTATACCCATGTTTTACTGACGTCCTTCCATGGATGTGGTGACGCTATATTACGTTTACCCATGTTTTACTGATGCCCTTGCATGGATGTGGTGACGCTCCATGACGTATATCCATGTGTTACTGACGCACTTCCATGGATGCGGTGACGCTCCATGACGTATACCCATGTGTTACTGACGTCCTTCCATGTATGTAGTGACGCTCCATGACGTATACCCATGTTTTACTGAAGTCCTCCCATGTATGTGGTGACGATCCATAACGAATACCCATGTTTTACTGACGTCCTTCCATGGATGTGGTGACGCTATATTACGTTTACCCATGTTTTACTGATGCCCTTGCATGGATGTGGTGACGCTCCATGACGTATACCCATCTTATATTGACGTCCTTGCATGGATGTAGTGACGCTCTCTGACGTTTACCCATGTTTTATTGACGTCCTTCCATGTATGTAGTGACGCTCCATGACGTATACCCATGTTTAGCTGACGTCCTTCCATGGATGTGGTGACGCTATATTACGTTTACCCATGTTTTACTGACGTCCTTCCATGGATTTGGTAACGCTCCATGACGTATACCCATGTTTTACTGACGTCCTTCCATGGATGTAGTCACGCTCCATGACGTATACCCATGTGTAACTGACGTCCTTCCATGGATGCGGTGACGCTCCATGACGTATACCCATGTTTTACTGACGTCCTTCCATGGATGTAGTCACGCTCCATAACGTATACCCATGTGTTACTGACGTCCTTCCATGGATGCGGTGACGCTCCATGACGTATACCCATGTTTTACTGACGTCCTTCCATGTATGTAATGACGCTCCATGACGTATACCCATGTTTTACTGACGCACTTCCATGTATGTAGTGACGATCCATGACGTATACCCATGTGTTACTGACGTCCTTCCATGGATGCGGTGACGCTCCATGACGTATACCCATGTTTTACTGACGTCCTTTCATGTATGTAATGACGCTCCATGACGTATACCCATGTTTTACTGACGCACTTCCATGGATGTGGTGACGCTCCATGACGTATACCCATGTTTTACTGACGTCCTTCCATGGATGTGGTGACGCTATATTACGTTTACCCATGTTTTACTGATGCCCTTGCATGGATGTGGTGACGCTCCATGACGTATACCCATGTTTTACTGACGCACTTCCATGGATGTGGTGACGCTCCATGACGTATACCCATGTGTTACTGACGTCCTTCCATGTATGTAGTGACGCTCCATGACGTATACCCATGTTTTACTGAAGTCCTCCCATGTATGTGGTGACGATCCATAACGAATACCCATGTTTTACTGACGTCCTTGCATGGATGTAGTGACGCTCTCTGACGTTTACCCATGTTTTATTGACGTCCTTCCATGTATGTAGTGACGCTCCATGACGTATACCCATGTTTAGCTGACGTCCTTCCATGGATGTGGTGACGCTATATTACGTTTACCCATGTTTTACTGACGTCCTTCCATGGATTTGGTAACGCTCCATGACGTATACCCATGTTTTACTGACGTCCTTTCATGGATGTAGTCACGCTCCATGACGTATACCCATGTGTTACTGACGTCCTTCCATGGATGCGGTGACGCTCCATGACGTATACCCATGTTTTACTGACGTCCTTCCATGTATGTAATGACGCTCCATGACGTATACCCATGTTTTACTGACGCACTTCCATGTATGTAGTGACGCTCCATGACGTATACCCATGTTTTACTGACGACCTTCCATGGATGTGGTGACGCTCCATGACGTATACCCATGTTTTACTGACGTCCTTCCATGGATGTGGTGACGCTCCATGACGTTTACCCATGTTTTACTGACGTCCTTCCATGGATTTGGTAACGCTCCATGACGTATACCCATGTTTTACTGACGTCCTTCCATGGATGTAGTGACGCTCCATGACGTATACCCATGTGTTACTGACGTCCTTCCATGGATGCGGTGACGCTCCATGACGTATACCCATGTTTTACTGACGTCCTTTCATGTATGTAATGACGCTCCATGACGTATACCCATGTTTTACTGACGCACTTCCATGGATGTGGTGACGCTCCATGACGTATACCCATGTTTTACTGACGTCCTTCCATGGATGTGGTGACGCTATATTACGTTTACCCATGTTTTACTGATGCCCTTGCATGGATGTGGTGACGCTCCATGACGTATACCCATGTTTTACTGACGCACTTCCATGGATGTGGTGACGCTATATTACGTTTACCCATGTTTTACTGATGCCCTTGCATGGATGTGGTGACGCTCCATGACGTATACCCATCTTATATTGACGTCCTTGCATGGATGTAGTGACGCTCTCTGACGTTTACCCATGTTTTATTGACGTCCTTCCATGTATGTAGTGACGCTCCATGACGTATACCCATGTTTAGCTGACGTCCTTCCATGGATGTGGTGACGCTATATTACGTTTACCCATGTTTTACTGATGCCCTTGCATGGATGTGGTGACGCTATATTACGTTTACCCATGTTTTACTGACGTCCTTCCATGTATGTAATGACGCTCCATGACGTATACCCATGTTTTACTGACGCACTTCCATGTATGTAGTGACGATCCATGACGTATACCCATGTTTTACTGACGTCCTTCCATTGATGCGGTGACGCTCCATGACGTATACCCATGTTTTACTGACGTCCTTCCATGTATGTAATGACGCTCCATGACGAATACCCATGTTTTACTGACGCACTTCCATGGATGTGGTGACGCTCCATGACGTATACCCATGTTTTACTGACGTCCTTCCATGGATGTGGTGACGCTATATTACGTTTACCCATGTTTTACTGATGCCCTTGCATTGATGTGGTGACGCTCCATGACGTATACCCATGTTTTACTGACGCACTTCCATGGATGTGGTGACGCTCCATGACGTATACCCATGTGTTACTGACGTCCTTCCATGTATGTAGTGACGCTTCATGACGTATACCCATGTTTTACTGAAGTCCTCCCATGTATGTGGTGACGATCCATGACGAATACCCATGTTTTACTGACGTCCTTCCATGGATGTGGTGACGCTATATTACGTTTACCCATGTTTTACTGATGCCCTTGCATGGATGTGGTGACGCTCCATGACGTATACCCATCTTATATTGACGTCCTTGAATGGATGTAGTGACGCTCTCTGACGTTTACCCATGTTTTATTGACGTCCTTTCATGTATGTAGTGACGCTCCATGACGTATACCCATGTTTTGCTGACGTCCTTCCATGGATGTGGTGACGCTCCATGACGTATACCCATCTTATATTGACGTCCTTCCATGTATGTTGTGACGCTCCATGACGTAGACCCATGTTTTACTGACGCTCTTCCATGTATGTGGTGACGCTCTCTGACGTTTACCCATGTTTAATTGACGTCCTTCCATGTATGTAGTGACGCTCCATGACGTATACCCATGTATATACATTCCTTCCATGTATGTGGTTGTGCTCCATAACGTATACCCATGTTTTACTGTCGCCCTTCCATGGATGTAGTGACGTTCTATAACGTTTACCCACGCATTACTGACGTCCTTCCATGGATGTAGTGACGCTCTCTGACGTATACCTATATTTAAAAGGACGTGCTTTCTGTATATTCTGACGTTCCATGACGTGTACCGACGTTTTATTGACGTCTTTCGATAATTGTAGTACCACTCCATGACGTATCCCAATGTTTTACTGACATCGTTCCATGTGTATAGCGACGCTCCGTGACGTGAATAAATGCTGTACTTACCCCAACCCATGCATGTAACTATGTACCATGACGTATTTCTATCTTTTACTGATGTTGGTCCATGCATGTAGTGGTACTCTAGGACGTACTCCTGTGATGTGCCGACTTCCCGCTATGTATGAAGTGATGTTTCAGGAGCCATGCCTATGTTGTACCGACGTCCTTCTTCGGAAGTGGAACTGGAGATATATGGGTGGATGACCTCGAGTGTACTGGGAGTGAGGCGTCTATAGATTCGTGTGCCCGGCCGACATGGGGCGAACACAACTGTAACCATGACAAGGACGTAGGAGTCGTATGCGCTTCAAGTAAGTAACTCTATTTCAAAACATTGGTTCCACCAAGCAAACATAGGGTCACGGTTTGATACGGTCTTAAATTAAAAGCGTGATTACCAGGCAGGTAACACCAGAGGAGAGTGTAGCAGGCAAGATGACGTGGTGACAATCATCAGTAGTTATGTATGTTCCGAGCTCGAAGGAAATACATAGTGTTAACCATTATGTGGAACTGAGAACACCGATATTACGTCAACTGTAGACGTTTTGTGGTATTATCTCCTTAGACAATACTTTCCGAATCGGTGAGTGAGTTGGGTTTAACGCCGCTTTTAACAGTTGGCCAGTTCCATCACGGCGTGTCTGTTTAATGTGGGAGGAAAGCCTGGGGTGATGCAGGTCTCCGACGTTTACCACTTCGGTGAAACCCACGAGCACGGGTATGGTGCTGACAAACCTAGAAACATAATCGGGGCGAACCGGGATTCGAACCCACAATCATAGGTTTCTGACGTGTTCAAGGGACGCAACTCTGAACAGCGAATCGCGGCGCCTTAGACGACTGGGCCACCCGTGCCCCCAGTTTCCAAATGGAATTACCTTTTGGTAATATATTGAGACGCCACAATGTTCGATGTGTTGTTAGTTATTAAATGTTGTCTTAGGTAATAAACAATACATCAAATTATATGTACAATCAAGTAAGGCCCTAGCTGATAAGCAAAAGGTATTATTTTTTGTATCATGTCAAGGCTGTGGAGAAGAACGTACGGGACACGGAATGTTTTGGGTTCATGTCCACAAGCAGCAAAAAACGATTCTAGAAGCAGGGGTTTCTCACTCAGCACCCACCAGATTACAAGATGGGAAGAACATTACCTTTCAAATATTTCCTTTTTATTAACTACAAACTCATCATGTTACAATGTCTAAAATGCCTTCTCTTTACAAGTAACACTTCGAACGATCACTGTAAAATGCCGCTATTGTGAGCTATAACAATGCCAATTGATACGCCAAAGTCACAATGATTGTACACCAGGAACATTGTGGCGTCCTAACAACAACGTAACTCTAACCGTGTAGTCTGACCTCCCTGAGGATACTAATGAAATCCGTTGGAGGATTTTTAGCGTGATATACCTTTTTGTCAATGTTTCTTACACGTTAATAGCATTGTATAATAATTATTATGTTTTTTTATCATATTTCTAAACAGCATTTTCTGAGGTTGTAAGGTTCACAACAGTATCGTTAAGTGTGAATACAATCCAAGTGTTCGCTGGAACTAGTCAGACTGTCACCTGTAACGTGAAGACACCACCGACCTCACCGCTCACGTATACGTGGACCGTTGGGGGCGTCATCAATGGAACATCTTCCACATTCACCAGAGTTCTTGTCAACGCTGATAATGATAAGGAACTCCAGTGTAGTGTCCGGTTGGGTGTCAATGACTTGGGCAGAGCATCTGTAGCACTTACTGTGGTGTGTAAGTATATTACTTGATTAATCTTTGGTAAAATATGTATCAGAAAATTGAATGATTTAATTAGAGTTGATGCTGGCTTTCGCATTATTCCAGACACACCACAAAGGATGAAACCACCAATGACAACACGTTGACGAATGTGGGGAATCGAACCCCGGACACTGGGTTCGACGGGCCAGCGTTTTAATTATAAGGCCACCCTTCGTCCCTCATTTAGATGAAGTCGTTCGTGACTGTCATGGATCTTCATTTGTTGAAATTTTATCGGTTATACTACTTTCATTCCATTAAATGTCCCTGCATGTAAGGACCTTAAGATGTGTTGTTAATGAGGTGCAATTTAATGTTTGAGAGGTGAACACGTATTGTATTAGTAATAAATAATATCAAAATGAATGTATAATTTTATGTCCTGTCCGAATTACCATCAAATTATATAAACAGCATGGGGGAAGAAAGTTTTACCTTGAAAACTGGATTTGACTAAAAACATCACAAACGTAACAAAAACGTTACTGGGCTGAAAACAGTGAGTGAGTGAGTGAGTTGGGTTTAACGCCGCTTTTTACAGTATTCCAGTTATATCGCGGCGTGTCAGCTTAATGTGGGAGGAAAGCCCGAAGTGATGCAGGTCTCAGACGTTTACCACTTCGGTGAAACCCACGAGCACGGGTATGGTGCTGACAAACCTAGAAACATAATCAGGGCGAATCGGGATTCGGAACCACAATCATAGGTTTCTGGGAAAACAGCAAATTTAAGGTCCAAAACACAACTATGATATCCATGTCAAACGCATCATCATCGAACAACCATTTCTTGTTTGTGTCAACCGTAGCCATCATCAAACGTGGGTGTATGCTTTCTTTTTCCCAACAGTTTATGATAAATGCTTTCATTTCCCCAAGGAAACAGATGACGCATGATAGTTCATAGGTAATAATGTCTAAACAACATGTGCTCATGTCCCCAGTGCTCAACAATCATATCTGAGTTATTTCTTCCGTCCCTCCTGGGGGGATACTTCACGCAGGATTTATAAATATGTATTGCACGTAGTTAAATCATAGCCTGCGTAGTCCCATTTACTCTACGACCCGTGAAGATCCGGAGTAGAATAGATCTTCAGTAACCAATGCTTGCCGTAAAAAGCGACTATGCTTGTCGCTAGAGGCGACTAACGGGATCGGGTGGTCAGGCTCGCTGACTTGGTTGATGCATGTCATCGTATCCCAAATGCGTGGATCGATGCTAATAATGTCAATCACTGGATTGTCTGGTCCAGACTTGATCACTTACAGACCGCCATCCTTAAGCTGGAATATTGCTGAGTGCGGCGTTAAACAACAAACAAACAAAACAAACATTAACTATACTGCCATTACTAGAGAGATGAATCTTAAGTGACCAGAACATTATACAAAGTTTTCATCCAGCAATTTATCCACAAGATGATACAGGATTCGGAAAGAGAATATATGGATGTCAACTTCTTTATTATGAGGAACACAAAGTTTCGGAGTATATGCTCACTCCTTCAGCTGATGAAGGAGTAAGCATATACTCCGAAACGTTGTGTTCCTCCTAACAAAGAAGTTGACATCCATAAATTCTCTGCCTTATGTGGGGCGGTCGGGTAGCCTAGTGGTTAAAGCGTTCGCTCGTCACGCCGAAGACCCGGGTTCGATTCCAGACATAGGTGCAATGTGTGAAGCCGATTTCTGGTGTCCCCCGCCGTGATATTGCTGGAATATTGCTAAAAGCGGCGTAAAACCATACTCACTCACTCACTCTTCCTTATATGTATCACTTCTAAATGCCTTTCAAAGACTTGATACAGGATTCGTTATCTAATGGCACCACACTGGTCACATGTCTGTGCTCACATTCAGATGCTCCAGTGGTCAGCTGTCAGTCCGAGTATTTCATCCTGTACAATGCATCTGTGCAACTGTCTTGCGAAGTGGATGCCTCCCCAGGCTACAGCAGCATCTCCTGGTCCTCATCTACAGGCAGGCTGCTGTCCTCTGGTGCTTCAGCATCATACATCCTCGAACACGTCACCGAGTCACAGACATTGACATGCACTGCCGACAACACAATGAGAGATTCTAATGGTGTCACAAAAACAGGAAACAGTTCCTGTCACATGGCCATCAAAGTTTTGAGTGAGCATTATCTTGTGATTACTGAGTACATGTCTTATATTATGGTTTGCATAAGTCAATACCATTTGTGGTAAGTTATGTTCTAGTAGTAATCTAGCATATTGATATGGCAAAGGTGTGAGATAGTCATATCACGGTGTATAAAATGGATCCCACGAGCACAGATTTAGTGCTGGAAAAAACACGAATCGTAATAAGGACATAGCTGGGATGCGGACCTACTGACCTAGGATTCTGACACGCATAAGGGAAGCAACCCTTACAGCAAAATGCGGGTGATTTATACGACTTCGGCCACGTATGAGATAATTCGACGGGCCGCTTATTAATCAATGATATACATATTTTAGGGTTATTTATACTGAAAAATATTGCCAGAAGATGAAAGTTTGTCAACAGAATCAAAATGAAAAAATGGCGAATTCTTAAAATACGCGGTAACATTGCTATTTTCCTTTGAGAAAAACTGTTGGAATTAATCTGATAATAAGCATGAAAGAACAAGGGGCCCGTTTATTGACGCACACTGGTGATTTTGAAATATATAAACCTTAATTCCGCCGTCGAGGGCACGGTAGCGCAGTAGGTAGCGCGTCAGTCTCATCAGTCATACGTCCAATGGCAGTTTGAGTTCGATCTTCACCTTTGAAAATCTTTTTCATAACTGTTTTATTGTCCAGAACCCCCTCCAACCACCCAGTCGGGGAGCGTGGCAGTATTTGAAGGAGATTATGGTGCTGACCTCTCTCTCCCTTCCGCTGCCTCACCTCCACCATCCTCATTCAAGTGGAGGAAAGTTGGGTCCCCGTGGAGCACAGCATCCACCGCCCCACCAAGACTGCACAACATCAGTAGAGCTGATGCGGGAGACTATGTCATTGAGGTGACCAACATCATCGGAAGCAACGAGTCATCGACGCATGTCAGCGGCCAGGGGGCGCAGTTTGTTCATGTTGATGTGTTATGTAAGTCCTGGTCATATTGAACAACTCACTCTTTTGCAGAGTGTGAATAATGTAACACCTCCGGAACAAATTGGCTTTAAACTGTACTGTTTGTTTGTTTGTTCTTTAACTCCGCACTCAGCAATATTCCAGCTATGGCGGCGGTCTGTACATAATCGAGTCTGGACCAGACAATCCAGTGATCGATATCATGAGCATCGATCCACGCAATTGGGATCAATGACATGCATCAACCAAGTCATTGAGCCTGACCACCCGATCCCGTCAGTCGCCTTTTACGACAAGCATAGTCGCCTTTTACGGCAGGCAAGGGATGCTGAAGACCTATTCTACCCCGGATCTTCACGGGTCTTAAACTGTACTGAGGATAATCAGTTGTCAACATGACTATTGAAAGTTCTAAAGGTTACATCTTTAGGAAATCATCTCTACCTCCGTGACGTTATCATATACATATTTAGACATCAGATTAGACATCAGATTCACTCTTCATGAGTTGTACACCTCAGTTAACCATTATACAGTTTGGTCTGGTATTATCATTCATCTTGCATTGCCACATGTGTACAATATGTGAAGCTCATTTCGGGGGTCCCCGCCTGGATAGTGCTGGAATATTGCTGAAAACGTTAAAACATAGTCACTTACTCGCTCGCTCATCTGGTAGTGGTATTAAATAATGTAACAGGGAAGGGTTGATTTTCAAAATCTGGCGCTCTGTTCACGTGGTGGCACGTAGTCCTAAGCACAGCGCACAGATCACTAATCAGGTTAAGCAACGTCGGTCTCGGAGAGTAGTTGGGTGACCACGTTCAGCAGCTTGACTCCTGAGAGTTGCTAGGGCTTCGGCCCTGCCCCACACGTGGTGTCTCCTTTGGCAAGTGACTTTGTTCGAAATGCTCACCCAGTAGTGAGTGGGTACCCGGTAGGATGAGATGGTAATGTGGCTGTTAACCTTCTAGCGCCTCACAGGCAGCTTGAGTTGTATACTCCCCAGGGAGCTTAGAATGAAAATCGAGTGCTCACTGATCAATTAACTTGTGTAATAATCTAAGCGCCATGAGCACACGAGCTGGTATGCTCTTTATGCCTTTAAAACTATTTTAAGTGTTAAACCTTTCGGTTTCAAATTATGATTTATGACTTGTAACGAGAAGTCACACTATGCATAATTAGGTATGGAGATGTTTTTCACAGATCCACTCGATGTATCCTGTCAGAGGGAGCATTTCCTCATCCAAGACATAGAATTGATTAATATTCCATCCAACAGACGATCAAATGGTACATGGTTTTCATAGATTTCATGGGGAATCTAGAAATCTACAGCTGCATAATCATGTTTCAGATCCCCCTGAAGTAGTCTGTCAAGAAGATGTAAGTGTACTTCTCAAATCATCTTTTGACCTGAGATGCAAAGCGTGTGCATCTCCACTCCCAGATGATGTGACATGGGCAAGGCTATCCATTCCAGCCTCCACTATCCCTCCTCCACCTACAGACACATATCCCCCCCTCTTTGGATCTGGTGAAAAAGAGATTATTGATATTGGCAATGCTGAAGAAGAAGATGATGGTTCAGGGTCTGACCTAGACGGACGTGCCTCCAGGCTGAGAACTCGGTTGGATGGCATCACAGAATCTACGTGTGAAATGAGATATGGATTGAATACCATGAACGGCAAAATTGGAACATACCATATCCCACGTTCTTCCACGAATGATGCTGGGGTTTATCAATGTACTGCTGTGAACACGATGTTAGACCACACAGGAAAGAAAGAAAATGGAACAGGATCATGTTTAACAAGCGTAAATGTTCTCTGTGAGTATTGAGTGTACACCCTGATATAATACAGACATCCGTTGTTTTAGTGGTATCGTGTGACAGTGACCATTGTGAGGTGAGGTGAAATGGGGCTTAACGTCGCGCCCAAGATTATTGCACTTATATAGCGACGTGCATGCACGTGTGTGTGTGTGTGTGTGTGTGTGTGTGTGTGTGTGTGTGTGTAGCTGCTTGTACTAGTCCGGACTGATGCCGATTTATAGTGCTAGCACACTGAGATACCATGCCGCAGTTTAACATGAATATCCCACTCAGACACAGTACACTGACTCCGAGCCGACCAGTCCTTGTTTTAGCCCCTTAATGCCGAGCGCCAGGCAGGGTAACAACAAGTACCATCTTTTAACGTCTTTTGGTTTGATCGAACCCCGTACCTTCCGCTCTCCGGGCGGACGCTCTACCACTAGACCACGGAGGCGGTCAGTGACCATTGTGAACAACATCGTATGCAACAGGGTTTTTCGGACAACGTCCTTGCATTCCTTCAACGTTGTGATAACCTTATGCGTTTGAAATGAATTAGTGCTGAATATTTTCCATTCTTCCAATGAGTTACCTTTTACATTTAGATCCCCCGTCTCCTTTGAACAGCGGTACGAAGGACGTGTTCGAGGGCGGCAGTGTCATCCTGAGTTTGCCTCAACGTTCCAACCCCCGACCACACGTCTACACATGGAAGAGGGAAGGGAATGAGCTGGAGGTGTCTTCAAACACTCCACCTGTGATATCGAACATCAGGACATCTGATGCTGGAATGTATATCGTCAGACTTACCAACTTGATGAACCTCACTTACGGTGGCCTGATTGAGGGACACGGGAATCAGCTGGTGCACATCAATGTTTTATGTATGTCTGTAACCCGTGATGGTCGATGTCTGGTGTATGACTGTAACATATGCAGGTTGATGTGGGTATATTATTTTACCCATCCTCCAGAAAATAGTTTTATCATCATTCAGACAATGTCTATGTTGATTCATTCCAGTAAGTTCCTAAGTTTAGATGAAAAATATAGATATCCACTGCAATGAATGGTTGGTTGGTTTGTTGTTTTACGCCGCACTCAGCAATATTCCAGCTATATGACGGCGGTCTGTAAATAATCGAGTCTGGACCAGACAATCCAGTGATTAATATCCACGCAATTGGGACCGATGACATGTATCAACCAAGTCAGCGAGCCTGACCACCCGATCCCATTAGTCGCCTTTTACGACAAGCATAGTCGTCTTTTACGGCAAGCATGGGTTGCTGAAGACCTATTCTACCCCGGATCTTCACGGGTCCCACTGCAGTGAGTGAATGCCACGTGTATAAGGCCACGGGTCACTACTACACGTGATTTACCAAGACAGACTCTAAATAATCGACCCTGGACCAGACCAGGGTCCCGTTCAACAAAGCGATCTTAGTGCTATGATTGTCGTAAGCCTGTGTTAAAGTATGGGAGTTACGATCATCTTAGCGCTAAGATCGCTTTGTGCAAGTGGGCCCTGTACTTGATACTATGGACAAAGCCCAATACAATGAACCGTGCCTGAACTCCGTATTAATTTTACTCGCCCTTTCAAAAAGCATATTTTAAGGGGGAGAACTTCTTACTATTCATTGTAAAACATATCCATGTTTTGATAACATTGTGTGTGGTTCACTTATTCATAAACACTAATCCTTCACTACAATATCTGCAGATTCTCCTGTGGTGTCTTGCCGGAAAGAGTACGTTGTCGTCCAGAACTCATCTGTCAGCCTCATGTGTTCTGTAGACGCCTTCCCAGGTCCCGGTGCCATACGGTGGTTACAGCAAGCATCAAATAAGATTGTAATGACCGGAGACAAGTTCACTATTGACGATGTCCAAATGATAGACGGTGGTGTATATATATGCACGGCTACGAACAGCATGACAGATACTAATGGTCAGATGCGAGAAGGGACTGGGTCATGCACAGTCAGGGTTAAAGTTGTGTGTAAGTACTATGATTAATCATTACTAGCGAATAAAGTAAGTGAATGGGTTGGTGATTGGTGTGGGGGAAGGAGAGCTAGTGAGAGACGACTGCCCTCGATAGTGTTTTTATGTTAGTGAGTGAGTTGGGTTTAACGCCGCTTTTAACATTATTCCAGTTATATCACGGCGTGTCAGCTTATTGTGGGAGGAAAGCCCGAAGTGATGCAGGTCTCAGATGTTTACCACTTCGGTGAAACCCACGCGCACGGGTATGGTGCTGACAAACCTAGAAACATAATCGGGGCGAACTGGGAATCCAACCCACAATCATATGTTTCTAGCGTGCCCAAGGGACGCACTCTGCACAGCGAATCGCGGCGCCTTAGACGACTGGGCCACCCGTGCCCCTGTATATATGTTAAGATTGATGATCTGATAATTCTCACCTTGATATTGGCTGGCCTAGAATATCTAGCTAGTTATGCTCAATACAACACAAATACTGACCAGTAAATTATATATAGTTGTAGAATGAAACTATGGCTAATGCCTATGGTATGGATACTCGGCCCGGTCTCCTTACGTGGTGTGGGGGCACGGGTGGCCCAGTCATCTGAGGCGTTGCAGTTCGCTGTGCAGTGTTGCGCCGCCAAGGCGTGCAAGAAACCTTCGACAGTGGGTTCGAATCGTGCTTCGCCTGATTATGTTTCTTGGTTTCTCAGCACCATACCCGTGCTCATGGCTTTCGTCAAAGTGGCAAACGTCCGAGACCTGAATCACTCCGGGCTTCCGCCCACACCAAGCTGACACGCCTTGTGGAGACTGAAATACTGTTCATCATCTCACCTTACTTGGCGGCAGGGGCATGATCTAAACGGCTCAATGCATTTTCAATGCTTTACCACGAGTAGTAGTGGGGTGTTTGTGCAGGTGATTGATACAACACGACAAACTAGAATTGGCATAGACCTTGCACCGCCATTACCGATAGTTACAGATAGGAACGAGAGCGTGTTTTGAAGAAAAATACAGATGTCCATTTTCTTTACACATTCTAAATAGCACGTGTGACGACGGGAAATCCAGGTCCTGCACCAGAATCTTATCACTCTCAACCACCGCACTTCCTCATCTTCATCGTCGGTGGTGTTCTTGTGGTCGCCATCATCATCCTTGTGTTATTAGTCATCCGTCTCAGGAGGAAACTTAAAGGAAGCATCCGCAATGGTCTGTATAGAAATATATTTCGTTTTATATCTGTTTTAAAAATATAGATTCAGTGTCAGTTCATAAGAATAACTGCAATTTTGATGTTGAAACAGATAAAATAAAATGCCCATTTTCTTACTGTGTCGAACGTATACTGATTGTAATGGCAATCACAAACATAAACTCAGCTCTGGTATTTCACATCATACAAAACATCTTGTTTTATTTCAGATGAGAAAGTAGAGGAGAAGTAAGTATGAAAGATATTGCATACAAGAAACATATCTTTTAATATGTAACAAGATATATAAATAATTGTGAATCTTGTTCTATCTGGGATTGCGATCTATTTATCATAAATGTCAATAACCAGTAAATACGCGGATAGCACAAATTAACCTACTGACCAAACTTATTTCCATGATTACAGCACAGACATACCACTGTCGGAACTTCCGGGAGGTAAATATAAGTGTCTTCCTTTAAATATTATATAAGATATAGAATCACAGCATTGAAATGTAGGTACAATGTGTGAAGCCCATTTCTGGTGACCCCTGATTTGGTTGGAATATTGCTAAAAGCGTCGTTAGTCTATACTCTCTCACTCATTATGGAAATGTTTGTGAGTCTATACTGTAATACCTTAGATACTTAGGGTTAGCTTCCGGGACAATGGGGTCATGGAGGGCCCAGGCGTCATTTCGCTGTGCAGAGTTGGGAAACACCTAAGACCTTCAGCCTTAAGTCCTACAACAAGCTGACATACGGTTAAGGGGCGTCCAACCATACTCTAGTAGAATATAGTCAGTGTAATCTTTATTCATTATGTATTGTAAGCCACAGGCCCATTATACATTACAGAGTACACAGTGAGAGAGAAACATAACAATACAAAGGTAAATTGTAGGTGATTTACACAAGACGTAGTTTCATTGCTTTGTAAATGAATACGGATAGATTTTGAATGATTAATACACTATTTGATGCCATTAAGAATATAGTCAGCAACATTCCAGTGTGTCACGGTAGCCTGTTATCCCCGGCAAACTTGTAGTTCCCAGAACCAACAACGACCCGTGCCGTATGCGTACAATGACAGTGGAGTCAGCGGACCACACTTTATTCAGATCTGACAACAAACAATGGTGTTTAAGCTATTCTTTCACTATCAGCCTTTGATTAGGCTCTCCAGCATAATGTCATAAAGTCAGTCAATCAATCATACACACTGCTCAAAAGTAGTTCATTTTTTTCACCGAATATTACTATGGTTGATATGCCGTTACAGGTTAACTGTAGTAATTTGAAAAAACTCAGGTTTTTAAAACTTTTGATTAATATTTATTGACAGAAGAGAATGAAAGGTAATTGTTGTCACAAGTATCACTCTTTCTCTCAACAGTGTCAACGCATATCGACAAACAGATGTGATCGCTTGGGACATCGCTATTATATATCCAGCTTCTGACAACATTTACAAATGGCTATGGTGCCATACACTATTCACTTGGTGCCATGCAACTGTAGTTCCATGATAGACAACACTCAACTGGACTCCTTGTTTGGTCATGAGCTACTGACTACACTGTTGTAGAATCATGATGCTGTGTTTCAAATGATGATACAGTAAACTACGGTTATAACGAACACGCTTATAACGAAGTGACGGATATAACGAACTAACTTTTTAGTCCCGACTATTTGCTGCAGTTATGCTGTATATATGCGTATAACGAACTACGGTTATAACGAACTAAAAATAGTAGTCCCTTTGAGTTCGTTATAACCGTAGTGTACTGTAATTCAATGTAATGAATCCTGACATACAAGATGACTAGATGATTTTCCTTAAAATCATTTACGTCATACTCAATAAAATTGGGTGTACAATTGCATATTTAGCTAAATCGCATCCGGAAGCGTTCATATGTATGAAGTAGATGCAGAAATGTATCTTGTGTTAATGATTATCAAGCAAATAAACATTTGTGTGTCATTTTGTTCTAGTGTATATATAAAAATATAAATATGTACTTATATATTCCCACTATAACCTGTTTGTTGTCACCTGCTACTACCCAGACCATCATACATAGCTGCCACAGTGAGGAATAAACAGTGAGAAATAAAATCATAACCTTTTCCTTACAACTGTCTGACATCAGAAATTCGGTTTAGCTTTCAGGTTCGGCCATGGTAGCTTTCAAAGGGTTAAAGAACATTGGCCAAAGTTACGGTTGGAGCTGATCCACTGTACGAGAACATCTAATCAAACGAATCCAGACCATTGTCATAAATTCGGTGTCCTGGGCTTCATTTTATTTGCGTCACGAAGGGTTAAAGGAATTTGATGTTAATACTCATACAATGTGAGATTCTAAGTGCTTTACCGGAACGTGCATTGTTAAATGACGTGTTTGATGATACACAGTGACACTTACATCTTCCTGGCTCAAAGTGTAGCAGCTTATCAAATGACGTAGAAACGGAAATAGAACAGATCTGATGTATTGTTAACCTTAGTGAAACAGGCAAACACGCTGTTTATTACTTTGTAGGCTGTGTAACACTTGAGTGTGACAATTGAATCAAGTAGTCAACTTTGTAATGATTTTGAGTACTCCCATTCCAATATAGTACATTCCATTTAAATACATGCAAGTTTCCGACGTTGTCACTCTCTTGACCATACTTGAAATATTTATAGTACTACGACAAACATGTCGATAAATGGGTGATCATGAGTTGGGCTTAAATTCACTCTGAAATTTATACAGCTACATCCCTATGTATCAAATTATTAAGAGAGGCAAACCCAGAGTCACGTGGCTGAAATCCACGTGTTTAGGTATAGCGCTGACATTCTCGGATTCGATACACGGCAACTCCGCCATCGGATAATCGGTAGAATACATAAGACAATGGATGTTATTTTTCCAAAAGATAGCAACCAAGCATGAAAATACAATCGTCATGACGAAAACATTTCAACTACAGTGGCTTCTTGTCAGCACCATGCCCCTGCTCGTGGGTTAACCGAAGTGGTAAACGTCTGAAACCTGCATCACTTGGGGCTTCCCTCCCACATAAAGCTGACACGCCGCGATATAACTGTAATGCTGTTTAAAGCGGCGTTAAACCCAACTCACTCACTCACTCACTATTTCAATAAGTTAGGGCTAATGTGGAATACGGACAGCTCAATTTGCCTGTTTATGCAATCTAACATTGGTTTTGATCAAATTATGTGTAGGTATTCCTCAGTCATGGTGCAGGACAATCGGTAATAGAAATCACATTTCAATAAGTAAGAGCTGATGTACCTTTACGTCAACTATGAGCGTAAAACACATACTCAAATGAACGTATCGTTGATTCACTAGTAGTGAGTAAGTATGTTCAGTTTACGCAATTGTAATTGAGTGACACCCGAGTGGGCTTCACAGACTGTACCCTTGGGTACCCTGGTAAGTCGAACGCGGGCCTTTAGCGTGTCAACCGAACGCTGAAATTCACTGCGTGCCATCGATATCGCACCACGAACCCGGCCGGTTGGGACGCTCATAATATCAATCTCTGGTTTGTCTGGTCCAGATTCGATTATGTACAGGCCGCCGTCATGTATCTTGAATATGGTTGTGTACGGCGTTAACCATCAAACAAAGCACCCGCCTGCCCCACCACCTGAATCGCCATTGGTGGTAGTAGTAGTTACTGTAGTTATTTGCTTGTTTAATGTTAAAACTCCCCCATTAACAACACAATTAAAGTTTACGTTTTAAACTTTTCGACATCATTTTAGAATAAACCTCAACAAATTCTGCATGTGTAGTTTCCTCAAATCTCTGAATAAAGGAAATATCACCAGAAATGCCCTCATCCCCCTCCCCCAAAAGAGATAAAATATTTAGGTAAAAAACGTTTCGCTTCGTCCTATGTCGTGCGTTCTGAATGGTTGAAAAAGTAGTACAAATATCAACATATTTTTTAGATAAAAATAACACCTCACGAAATGTGGGCTTGAGGAAAGAACACACAAATGTACAATCATATTTCTCTCATTTGTGAATATTTGGTTGCCGATTGAAGGCAGGAGGATTTTACGAAACTTCACTAACTAAGCCCGAGCCTGCGAGATCATTGAGATAGCCGAACAGATAGAGATCATCGAGGTGAAAATTGTGAGGATGTCAGGGAAATACCAAATTTACCCCCCTGTTCATAAAATGGACTTGGGTCGATATTTCAGGGAGTCATCATTATTTAAATAAGGGTAAATATTTTGAAAGCGTGTACATTTTAGTAACACCAGTAAAGGGGCTGTAAACCTAAAAGGGGATCGGATGATCAGTCATCGTGTCACCGTTGCTGATGCTTTCTGGGTCTCTTTTGTGCAAGCACGATTATCCACAGGCCGCTGTGACGTAGCCTGGAATCGCTGACTGTGGCGTAAATTAGCAACCTAACTATATTATGGTCCTCAGGGCTTTGAGCTGACGAGATTTCACTGAAATTGACTATACGGAAACTGTTATCTCACGTAAGTCGGAAAATGATCATTTAATCCTTGTCTCCATGACAACAGGTGATGGGCATACCATCAGTTGCTGTGGTGACAGGTAGTCAGAAAGGAACTTGACGAGATGACGTTTTTCAAACTCGAGATAGTCAGGTAGATATGAAAAATATTACTATTTTATTTGTTAACAGTTTGCACTGTGTTCATCAGCTAGGATCAAAATGCCATTGTTGTAGTGATGAGAATATAACTGTACGAAAAACTGCTTAGTCAGCCGACTACATTTAATGCAGCATTATTTTTAGTTCCACACGTTTTATACCAGATTTTATAATTAGTTTTCTTGGTAACAACTGAGGCTAACCAAGTTGACCTGTGTCGTGTGCTGCACCTTGACACGTGTTGACCTGGGTCGTGTGCTGCACCGTCAGTACGTTTTGACCTGTGTTGACCTGTGTTGACCTGTGTCGACCTGTGTCGTGTGCAACAACAAATAAACAAACAAACAAACGCTGTGAACTATAATACACTAAACTATTGATAACTTATTCACTTCAAACCACATAATAAGTTTACATTACACTGGCATAAACACTATTTAGGGGATGTGATCGTGCTGTAGTTGGTGGAATCGGCGTTTTGCAAACACGCGCTTTTATTGTTGTTATTCAATGAGACATCCTGATCTGTCACAATCAGTGACATTGTGGACATAATATCGCTGTACCAGTATTCATAAGCGCGTTCCGTTAAACAAACAGTGAACAGTGCACAAGCATGTGGTCTAAACATTTTGTGCCTAATTGGATAAAACGCCCTCCGATATCTGAAAAACGCAGATAGATTAAATCAAGACGCATGTCGGTGCATATGCGCACTACAACCCTACTGTGTTGACACTAGGAAAGACATAACTGAGTGAATTGCATACTTCGCAAATATAATGTAAAGGAAAGACAAGCATCTTCTAGTATTAAAACGGATTCCTACATTTTGACAGTCCATTCTGTTTCGGATCGTTTTGTGAGTTAATATTCTCCGCGAAACCCAATAAGTTAAAGAAGTTACTCCCATGGAATGATCATGTGACTTTCAGTCACATTGTTCTGGGGGCAGTTTGGTCCAGTAGGTGCTTAGTCGTGCAGTGTTTGTTTTTTTGGGTATTTTGTATGTTGTTTGACGCTCCGGCTATTTGATGGCGGTCTGAAAATAATCTAGTCTGGACCAGACAATCCAGTGACAAGCACCGTGGGCATCGATCTACGCTATTGGGATACGATGACATGCATCAACCGAGTCAGCTACCCTGACCACCCGATCCCGTTAGTCGTTTCTTACGACAAGCATGGGTTGCTGTGATCAATTCTAACCCGTATCTGCATGGGTAAGTCGTGCAAGGATCCGCTACGACATGTATGTGAGACAAACGTTAAAAGCGTGTTGAACTCACGCACGTTCAAAAGGCTTCATGGCAGACTATTGGAGGACATTTCTACATTTAACGCATCAGTGGCAAAAATGCAATTCAGTGCAATTCCCTATTTGGAGTTGCACTATACGTTCCCGTGTTTTTTTTCAGGTGGAGGGTTGATTTGCCTTTGCATGTGTGTGTGTTGGAGGCCAACGGTGGGACAGGGTACGCTCACCTGTTTGCGGAGTCGAAATCGTAAAATGATTATTGTTTTAAAAAGAGTCTTATTGTAATGTCACCAGCAACCACTCCCTTTTCTATTCTTCACAGACAGCCGTTATATAACTGTACTTTTACGGCAAAAAATAATATTCAATCACTCACTCGTACAACAAATATGCCCTGACATTTTTAAATAATTAAAACATGCATAAAAAGGAACAATCTCACGAATATATAAAAGTGCTTTGTCGCTCATATAAACAGGTATGTCAAGGTCACATCATTATCACAAACCACCCAAACTCCTTGACAGTTGGTCAACTTGAAAAACAAAAGACACAACTCATTTGATAACATTGGATAAAACTCGGCAAGAATAAGACTTCACACGATACTGCATTAATTGATTGTCGGAAAGACAACAAGGCACAAATAATTTGATAAAACAACATGTATTCTTCAGCTAAGACAATTGTCAGTGAAGCAATTTCAAGTTCATAGCAACTTAGAGGGAAAACAACATTGGATAAAGTCGGGCTAGAATATGTCTCAACACGATACTGCATTAATTGATTGTCGTAAAACAATAAAACACAAATCATTTGATAAAACAACATGTATTCTTTAGCTAAGACAATTGTCAACGAACCAATTCGGCATTAAATGATTGTTGTAAGAGGCGACTACGTGGATCGATGGTAGGCTAGATATCCTCTTTGGTTTCGTGTCATCGGACCCAGACTATGTGAAACAGTGCTCATAATATCCACCATTGGCTTATTTGACCGACATGGTACAGTTGGAGCATTGCTGAGTGTAGCGTAAAACAAACGAGCACAGTGGACAGTTACGTGGTGAAACTGCAGAAGAAAACAGTGGTGACAACACATGTCACAATAGAAAATGTGACGAACAGCATTCGATCCACAATGCGTGCAGTGTCAGCCCAGGACTCGCGGTGGACAGCAGTGGCATTGACGTCGTCATCTGAATTATTTACTGTTTCTGGTGTCGGGTACCAAGATATTGTTCTGCACCGGAAGATCAACCCAGATTTCAAAATCCAAGATGGCGGAGGCTGTTGGCTTTTGTTGTGGTGTATGTTGAGGACGGCGACTGAGAGTAACAAGGTCAGGACCTTTAGGCAGACCATGACGCTGAGATAGATGCCATATATGGATATCGTGTCTGAGATTTCAGGGAGAAAGCCGTGGATGATGGTGAGGAATACTGCGTAGGAGAGAAAGACTGAAATACCCAGGGTCATCTTCTCGCCACTCTCGCTCGGAACGAGAAACACTGCGAGATTGAGAATCGACAGGAGGATAACAGGCAGAACACAAAGTTGAATGTAATACAAACTCTTTCGGGTAAATGTCACGGAAAACCGCAGTTCTGTTTGATGGCTTTTTTCATGGGTCACAGTCGTTATGTTCGTGTGCACTATGGTATACTCGCCATTGTTTCCATTGTATTCGCTCAGATCTATGTTGCTGGACTTTGGAGTGACTCGTACTTCGGAATCGATAGACGCCCATTGTCGGACTCGGATCTGACACACTTGAGTGTCAAAAGGAAACTTGGTGACGTCAACACGACAGTATGTTTCGCGTCTGCCCCCTACACTCAACATGACGTCGCCCGTGTAGTGAACCACGACACTGACCACATCTGCGGAAACGTGGCCGTTGTTATTGACGTCATTTAAGATGATCAGATCTGGTACCCATAATGCACTAGCTGGAACGATTATCCTGGTCACGTTGAAGTCAAACAGTGACCACATGAGAGTTTCATCTCTCCACGTGACGGTCAGAACTCCTTGGCTGATGAATACTTGTCGTATCTCGTCATGGTTTTTAAGTGTGATCAGACCAAACCCCACAGCCACGTGCACTGGCGTTAAGACGTTGGCCACTGGTCGGACAAGGGCGCTGTGGTTGCTAAACAAATGATCGTACAACTCTCTTTGGCCATCGCACGTCGAGATTTTCAGTAACAAGCACAGTAATACAAGACAGTTCATCATTTTTGTCGTGACGTCAACTTCTTGTTTATACTGCATTATAATAAATTGTAACAGTGGTTTTCAGCACAGGTTCAAATCACAGGTCCATATCACAAGTAACGCGTTATCGGATTGTAATCAAATATTGGTATCACAGATTCAGATCACAGGTTGATATCACTAGTACGGGTGGCAGATCCAGGTCATTTGTTCAGATCACAGATGGATAACACAGGATGAGATCGAAGATGGCCTAGCGAACATGTGTTGAAACCGATGAACGAATTCCCGAATTGAATATTTCACACGTCACTGTCCCACACGATTGGCATACAGCGCTTGAATCACACTCAGGTTAAGGGCTGTATATAACGAAACGAATGGGATCCAACAATGCTACCGCTGTATATTGGCAATAGAATCACAGACTCTCTTCATGTGGTTTACACGTCCTTTAACTGTGGTGGCGTTGACAGGATCACAAGGGGATATTCATCTGAGAGAAGGGATAAAAAGAAACGTGCAAATTGCAGCTGCATCCCATTTGTTCAAGCAACCTACGTGGAGTGTTGATCCTGTGGCAGGACAATCAATGGTGGGCGTATGCGTCCGTGTGTACGTTAGAACCCTCGGAACAGAGGATGACAACATTAATGGTGGGTACTGATCACACTGGCATGGCCAATTAGATGCACAAACAGGATCACATTAACCTGACTGTCAGGGATGTTCTCTAATTGTATTTGTATTGTCTTAGATATTTCTGTTCTGACAGCATAGTACATGTCAGCATGACAGAACCAACGATGTAAAGTACAAAGGCATTGGGTAGAGTGTCCATGCACTTTACATGATGACAATAGGAAGAGCATGGTAAAGAGTAGTTGCAAAAATAGTGAGTAAAAGAGTGAGCGGACAAATCACGACGAAGCCCACCTCGCTATGGATCGAACGTGTTAACAGCAACTGTTTGAGGATTTATTGTTTCAGAAAATGGGGGAAATTAACCGTTTTGAATTGTTATTATCTCACATATTACAAATTCAGGAGAATCAATGTATATGTGGTTAACGCCCGTTTGGTAAAAATGATGATGTAGCAAATGTGTTTTGATGTTGAGCATCATTTACTCTAGACTTCCGCTGGGGAAAGATCAGGATGACCCCCAGGAAACATTAAACAGGAGGCCACCTCTTGGTAATGATCACAACGGCCACGGAGGCGGGGGTGAATATTTACCTACTGAACACGATGTTTTTACCTGGAACCTCATGAACAGAAAACGCTTGAAAGTATAGTACCATCATCGGTCGTACCTGAGTGGCTTTAGTCTAATATAAAGACAGGTGACCGCATCCATCGCCTAGTGGATCGAGCGCCTGCCCGGAGCGCCAAAGGTCGGTGGTTTGATCTACGGCCGCGTCATGCCTATAGAATTAAAGGTGGTACGTGTTGTTACCTTGCTGGGCATTCAGCATCGAGGGATAAAACAAGAAAAAATAATATATGGATATTTGACATGCGCTATTGGCCATCCGTTGAGGAATGCTCAAAGCGCGAACGCCATTATTATTATCAATGGATCTGTGCACTCAGACATGTCAGACAGATAAGGGTTAGGCTAAGTCATATTTAGCCTTAATTTTGTGGGATTTTATCACAAAAAATGAATTGTCTGCCACAAAAGTTCCATTGTTACAAGGTGTGTTTCTTTAAAAAATCAAGCTCATAGTTTTAAGAAAACTTCTATTCGCTGAAAAATATCTAATCTCGATATCAAATGGTCGGTCCCTTAAATCCAAACATTTCATCCCTATATTGATATGACTTGCTAAGTATAACTGGTTGATTGGGTCGTGCTATTGAGAGGGTTGGCACTGGTGTTCTTACCAGGTGTTTGGAAAAATGTAGTCCCATGGATTCCAATTGTGCCCCTCAGTGAAGATCCATGTGAGTTTCGGTCTTCATTGTCCAATGCTATTCGTAAAAGGCGACTAAACAAGGGCATTCATGTTTATGCTTTTTGTTTTGTTTGTTGTTTAACGCCGCACTCAACACTATTCCATCCATGTGACGTCGATCTCTAAATAATCGAGTCTGGACCAGACAATCCAGTGATTGACATCATGAGCATCGATCCAAGCAATTGGGGTAAATAAATAAATACACGCATACTCTTAATACCACGATGAAAGCGGCATCCGATGATAAATCCGAAAATTATGGAAAATATCATTTATCCACAAAAAATCGTTCCCTGGACGTGCTGTGTTCTAAAACATAATGCTTTGGTTTCAAGGATAACCTGTGTGAAGCCCATTTCTGGTGTGCCCGGCCGTGATATTGCTGGAATATTGCTAAAAGCGGCGTAAAACCATACCCACTCACTCACTCACTTCAAGGATAACCATGTTTGTTTTGAAGCTCTGACGTTCATACAGTCTGGCCCTCACTCTATGAAGGCTCTCGGCGTAACATAACGTTCAATCACTCAGTCGAACAACAAATATGCCCTGACATTTATAAGTAATTAAAACATGCATAAACAGTAACTATCTCATGATTATGTGAAAACGCTTTGTCGCTCTTATTTACGGGTAAGTCTTGCGTGTGTCAAATGTCAAGGTAACATCAATATCATACAACCACCCCAACTCCTTGACAGTTCGTTAACTTAAAAAATGAGACAAATCATTTGACAACATTGGATAAAGCCGGGCAAGAATAAGTCTCCACACGATACTTTATTAATTGATTGTCGTAAAAACAATAAGACATAAATCATTTTAAAAAAACACATGAATTCTTTAGGCAAGATAATTGCCAGTGAACAAAGTGCAACTTTGAGGGAAAACAACATTGGATAAAGCCGGGCTATGTTATGTCTTACCGCAAAACTGCATTAAAGATGGATCGGTGGTGGGCTAGGTGTCCGCGTTGGTTTTATATCATCGGACCCCAACTACGTCATATAATATCAACCCTTGGGTTATCTAACCGACATTCAATCATTTTCAGGCCGCTATGACACAGTTGGAGCATTGCTGAGTGCAGCGTAAAACAATCAAGCACAGTGGAACTTTATGTGGTGAAACTGCAGAAGAAACCAGTTGTGACAGTCAATGTCACAATAGAAAATGTGAAAAAAAGCATTCGATCCACATTGCGGGCAGCGTCATGCCAGGACTCACAGTGGACGGCGGTGTCATTGACAAACGGATTATTTACTGTTTCTGGCGTCGGGTACCAAGACATTGTTCTGCAAGTCCAAGATGGCGGAGGCTGTTGGCTTTTGTTGTGGTGTATGTTGAGGACGGCGACTGAGAGTAACAAGGTCAGGACCTTTAGGCAGACCATGACGCTGAGATAGATGCCAAATATGGAGATCGTGTCTGAGATTTCAGGGAGAAAGCCGTGGATGATGGTGAGGAATACTGCGTAGGAGAGAAAGACTGAAATGCCCAGGGTCATCTTCTCGCCACTCTCGCTCGGGACGAGAAACACTGCGAGATTGAGAATCGACAGGAGGATAACAGGCAGAACACATAGTTGAATGTAATACAGACTCTTTCGGGTAAATGTCACGGAAAACCGCAGTTCTGTTTGATGGTTTTTCTCATGGGTCACAGTCGTTATGTTCGTGTGCACTATGGTATACTCGCCATTGTTTCCATTGTATTCGCTCAGATCTATGTTGCTGGACTTTGGAGTGACTCGTACTTCGGAATCGATAGACGCCCATTGTCGGACTCGGATCTGACACACTTGAGTGTCAAAGGGAAACTTGGTGACGTCAACACGACAGTATGTTTCGCGTCTACCTCCTATGCTCAACATGACGTCGCCCGTGTAGTGTACCACGACATTGACCACATCTGTGGGAACGTGGCCGTTGTTAGTGACGTCATTTAAGATGATCAGATCTGGTACCCATAATGCACTAGCTGGAACGATTATCCTGGTCACGTTGAAGTCAAAAAGCGACCACACGAGAGTTTCATCTCTCCACGTGACGGTCAGAACGCCTTGGCTGATGAATACTTGTCGTATCTCGTCATGGTTATCAAGAGTGATCAGACCAAACCCCACTGCCACGTGCACTGGGGTTACGACGTTGGCTACTGGTCGGACAAGGGCGCTGTGGTTGCTAAACAAATGATCGTACAACTCTCTTTGGCCATCGCACGTCGAGATGTTCAGTAACAAGCACAGTAATTCAAGACAGTGCATCATTTATGTCGTGACGTCAACTTCTTGTTTATAGTTATGCTGCTTTATAATAAATTGTAACAGTGGTTACAGATTCAGATCACAGGTCCATATCACAAGTACAAGTGGCAGATCCAGGTCATATGTTCAGATCACAGATGGATAACACAGGATGAGATCGAAGACGTCCCAGTGAACACGTTTTAAAACCGATGAACGGATTCCCGAATTGAATATTTCACGTCACTGTCCGACACGATAGGCTTACAGCGCTTGAATCACACCCAGGTTTAGGGCTGTATATAACTAAATGAATTGGATCCAACAATGCTACCGCTGTATATTGGCAAGAGAACCACAGCCTCTCTTCATGTGATTTACACGTCCTTCAACTGTGGTGGCGATGACAGGATCACACAGGGATATTCATCTGAGAGAATGGATCAAAAGAAACATGCCAATAGCTGCTGCATTACATTTGTTCAAGCAACCTGCGTGGAGTGTTGATCCTTTGGTAGGACAATCAATGGTGGGCGTATGCGTCCGTGTGTACGTTCACGTTCTTCATACGGTTGTGCTACATTCGAACCCTCGGAACAGAGGATGACAACTTTAATGGTGTGTACTGATCACACGGGCATTGCCAATTACATACACAAACAGGATCACATTGACCTGACTGTCAGGGATGTTCTCTAATTGTATTTGTATTGTCTTAGATATTTCTGTTCTGACAGCATAGCAAATTCCAGCATGATGATACCAACGATGTAAAGTGCAAAGGTATTGGGTAGAGTGTCCATGCACTTTACATGATGACAATAGGAAGAGCATGGTAAGAAGTAGTTGCAAAAATAAGGAGTAAAAGAGTGAGCGGCAAAATCACGACGAAGCCCATCTCGCTATGGATCAAAGGTGTTTACAGCAACTTTTTGAGGATTTATTGTTTCAGAAAATGACCGTTTTATTTATCAATATAACATTTACTATGCGATGTACCGTCCATGTATATATTAGTGTTTGAAAGATCAGCTGTGAAAATATCCTTTTATTGACTTGGGTATTTTCCTACTTTAAGTTACTAGGAACAATATTTGTTTTCTTGTTGTTAACACCTAATCTGTCTAACATATCTGTTGAGTGAAAGGAGAAAGTGTGTTCTGATGTTGAGCATCAATAACACTTGACTTCCACCGGTGAAAGAAATTGAGACGAATCTCGAGGACAAAGCTGGAGGAAGTAGCAGCAGTGACAGCAGTCTTGAACGTCACCTACACCGACATCGTCACACGTTTAGGCTGTTAGAGAATACTACTAACCTCCCGCCTCCCGAAGCGTGGTGTATTTCACGATATAACATTGTTCTATCATGACGTCATTTCTGGAGATTCGAAAATGCATTCGCAACTTCATGATGTCGTAAATTAGACGTCGTTATTTTTTAGAGGGAAGTGTCTCGTGAGTTGTTCTTCTATAACGCACTTCATAAGGGCAAGGCAACCAAGCGGTATTTGCCCCGCCATTTTGGAAGAGTGCGCAAGTGCTTCGAACTGTTACAGACACCGGGATAACCGATTAATTTGCTTACTCTTAGCGATTCGTGGCCTGCAACGCACCCCGGATTCTATTCAGGGAGCCATCATTTTTTAAACACAGGTAATTATTTTTAAAGCTTGTAAATTTAAGCATCACCCTTAAAGAGGCTGTACATAATATTGATATCAACTTCTTTGAGAGGGAAGTGTCTCGTGAGTTGTTCTCCAGCAATGGCAATGACTGAACGGTGGCATTCAAAAGTGGGCGAGATATGACAGTCGGTATTGGGACAAAAGGTTTCAGATAATCGATGCGATGACTGTGAAAATTTCCGGGAAAGACCAAATGTAACCAACCTGTTCATCAAATGGACTTGGCCGACATTGCCGAGGTCGGGGGTGCGTTCCGAGCGCCAATCGCTTGCAAGCGATGTACAGCGATTCCCCTTACAACGTGTCGCTAACGTTCAGCCGCTTGCAATGTACCATTCGCTGACTCAGGACGCCTCGCGATCGTTCTCAAATGAAAACAGCGGCTGAGTTCGAACAAGAAATCCTTGACTGGATCTACTAGGAAATGACCAAAAGGGCAGCGAACGCCCCATCATCCTCAGTCTGTTCCACATCTTTAAAGTTGTAATAAATTTCAACAGTTCGTCATCGAGCTTCTTTTCATACATTCTTCATTAAGGCAAGGCAAACAAGCGGTAGTTGCTCCACCACTTTGGAAGAGTGCGTAAGCGCCACGAGCTGTTGCAGACCCGGGGATAGCAACGCGCCCTGGATTCTATTCAGAGTGCCTTCATTATTTAAAACACGGGTAATTATTTTTAAAGCTTGTAAATTTAGCAACACCCTTAAAGCGGCTGTACATAATATTGACTGCGCCCATCATGGTTTATTCTCTCTACAGGGTTTTATTGTACGATAAACAACTCCCACTCGTCGTTTATATCCTAAGTAGAAAGGCCATGACATATTAGTTATTTGTCCCTTGCACACAAACAGGTATGTATAGGAATTATTACTGAAATATTTGTGCTCATGATATGAACCAATGATCTTTGTTAAGTATATTAAAAGAAAGTTTTCGTGATTGGTCCAGACCAAAGTCAAACATTGTGACCATACGATTCTCAAAAGTTGGCCATGGTAGGCACCATGAAGTATGAATTGGCACACGCTTGATGTTGCACCTGTACTTGTTTGTTTCATGTTTAACCCAGCCCTCGGCAATATTCCACCTGTACTCGTGGAACCTGCTTGACCGACGTCAGAAATTAACAATTCCTTTACATTGTTTGTCGTCAACGACCAACTCTTTTTGAAAGATAATCTACCTTGCATGTTTGTTTGTTGTTTTATACTCCAGTGAGCAATATTTCAGCTATATTGACGGCGGACAGTGCAGCATACATTTCATCACGGACGTATTAATTACATCTGAATTGTTATCTATATGCAGCAGTAAACCTGTCACGTGACGAGCATCAGCATCAGCCGGAAGTAGTGAGAGTTCGCCTGTCATGGACGGAAGGGGGAGACAACTAGAGCCAGGAGATTTCGCCAAGCTGAGCAACCAACCTTGACAGTAGCTGTATATGTCGATGAAGAAGCGACAAAACCTTTTTAATGATCGTAATCATTGTTTCAGACCAATTTTCCTCTGGTAGCTGACCATTACTGCTCATTTTCCAGTGGGTTAGTTCCTGTTCCTGTCATACTTACTTTTGGACCCGTGAAGATCCGGATTAGAATTTAGCAACCCGTGCTTGGAGGATCGTGTGGTCTGGGTCGCTAACTTTGTTGCTGCATGTCGATTATTTAAAGACGGCTGTCATATAGCTGGAATATTGCTGAGTGCGACGTCTAACATAAAACAAGCCCAACAATTCTGGAGGAGATGTCCCCAGTACCAACTTAAGAGGATAGGGTGGTCAGTTATCGTGTGCCGATGGTGTGGACCGTTGCTGATGTTTTCAGGGTTTGTCACGTGCAAGCACGATTATTTACAGGCCGCTGACTGGCGTAAATCAACAACCTAACTATATTTTCGACAGTCTGCAAGGCTTCGAACTGACGAGATTTCACTTCTATACGGAAAAAGTAAGTAGGAAAGTTATAATTTATTGCTTGTCTCCACGACAACGGCTGTAATGGCGACAGTGACATGATATCAGGAGAGAACCTTGATGACGAGATGACGTTCTTCCTACTCGAGATAGTCAGGTAAATATGATGAACATTTATATCATATTTGTTAACAGTTTACACTGTGTTCATCAGTTATGATCCAAATGCCACTGCTGTAGTGAATGGAATATAAATGTATGAAAATATGCTTAGTCAGCAGACGACATTTCATGCAGTATTTTTTTTTAAGCAACCTGCGTGGAGTGTTGATCCTGTGGCAGGACAATCAATGGTGGGTGTATGTGTCCGTGTGTGCGTTCACGCTCTTCAACTGTAATGGTGTGTACTTATCACACGGGTGTGGCCAATTAGATACACAAAAAGAATCACATTAACCTGACAAGAATGTTCTTTAATTGTATTTGTTTTGCCTTAAGTATTTCTGTTCTGTCAGCATAACAAACTCTAGCATGACAGACCCAACCATGTAAAGTCCAAATGTATTGGGGAGAGTGTCCGTGCACTTTAACAAGTGGACATAAGGAAGAGCATGGTAGGGCTTAGGAGCAGTTGCAATAATAATACGTGAAAGAGTGAGCGGCAAAATCAAGACCAAGCCATGTAATGACCACTATATTTATAGTCCAGGGTAAATTAAGTGTGTGTTAAACATCGGGGAATTACACATTCAGCTTAAAGCAGTACTTTTAAATCCAGTGCACGTGACTGTAATGGTAAAACTATAAGGTACAAACCATTTTAAAAAGAAACATCTTGCAACAATGTATTTTTGTGGCAGACAAAAAAATTCTCTTTTTAACAGCCTCTTCTGTTACAATTTACGCCTCCATGGTTGTGAGCACAATGGGCACAGAGGCGTGGTTGAATATGTACCTACTGAACATGATGTGCGTTATTGGAAGGTCATGAATAGGAAACGTTTGAAAGTATATTTCACCATCGGTCTAAGTTGCTTTAGAATAATATAAACACTGGTGACAGCATCCATGGTCTAGTGGATAGAGCGTCTGTCCGAAGAAAGAAAGGTCGAGTATTCGATCCCCGGCCGCGTCATAGCCAACAGAATTCACGGTAGTACGTGTTGTTACCTTGCTTGCAATCGGCATTAAAACAAGGACCAGTAACAAATGGATATTTGTCATGTGCTTTTGGCCATCCGTTGACGCATGCTCAAAGCGTACACACCATTACTACCCCTATCAATGAATCAGTGTGCACTCTCTATGTCAGATGGGTAAGGGTCAGACAAAGTCATGTTTCCTAAATGTTGTGCATTACCTTGGTTACATTCTCCCGTTAATAACATTTATATCTATCTATGATCGTAAAGGT